GATCTGCTGTGTTTCATTGAAGGATTTGCACGCCCGCGGGAGAGAAGGGGGAGTTTTTTTTTGAGACGCCATCACTTGAGACAGCGGTGAGTCCCCGTCACTTGAGACAGCGGTGAGTCCCATGGGAGCGTACTGCCTGCCTTCCACTGAGGGAAGGACACCCCCCCCCTTTCCTTCTCGGCTTCTCCCGCCGTCCGGGACCGCCCCCTCCGCACCTCCCTCCCCGCCGGAGCCCGACAGCGCCCCCTGCCGGCCACGACAGAGCACTGCAGGCTCTGCGCCTCCAGCGATCCAACAGCGCCCCCTGCCGGCAACGATTAGGACTGTGCTAAAGGACAGGGAAGTATGCATTCAGACTTCTTTTGTTTTCCTAGGATTACTGTCTAGTTTTTTTGTGTTCTGTTACTGTTTTTGCCAACATACATATATCTTTTAATAAAGGGTTGTTATTTCTTCTGTTTTTTCCACACTTCCTCAATTAAAGCCCCCTTAATTTTGAATTTACAATTGCTGAGAGAGAGAAGTTTGGTCTATCTCATAACTCATCCTCTTTAGCAAACATTCCAGTCTCATCAGAGTGAGACAGAAGCTTGGAAGTGGTTTGGCATTTTGGATTTCTGCAATCATTTGCCTGTTTTCAGGACCAGATAAAAAGCACAGAACAGAATGCAGGAAGGAGAAACAGCAGAGCTGAACAACAGTTTCCACTAGTATAAGCAAAAGTGCTCTGATATTTGGGAAATCCAATAGGAAGCTTAGAACATGGGCATTGGGAAAGGTGATTCGCCTTTTGAAAGGTGTGGACTGGAAACTTGCTGCCACCCACTGTCATGTTCCCATGAACAGTCTGGAACTCCAGGGTTCCCTTTGTAAGGAGCCTGGAACGCACTGCTACCAGCTAAGGCACACCCAGGATGAAGAACAGCCCACTGAAAGGGATGTAAATCGTGAGGGTGAAGACCCCGCTAAAATTGAGCAGTTATTCTTCCCTTGCTGTACCTCTCTTTACGAAAAATGCAAACAAAAATTGCCATTCAAATGCTGTTCAAGCCCAAATGCATGTGGAATTCCATTAAGTACTTACATTTTTGACACCATATGGAACCAGCATATCTCTTATATGTTAGAAGTGGCAGTGTAAAATGCATAGCAGCTCATACTGCTCACTGGCAGATCACTCTATAGGTGAAAAGCTGTACTGGTCATGACAAAAAGTAATTTTAAAGTATTGTTTTATTTTAAAATTTGAGTGCTCTTTTGAGGGTTCCCTTGGGATGAAGACAGAGGTGCACACTCTGCCACATCAGACAACTATGGAATTCTTCTGTAAGAAAAAACTGCAAAATTTTAGCATCATAAAATTTGACTAATAAATGGCCAGGCAGCCAGTGTAAGCACAATAATGGTGTGGCTGGAGATTTCTTCCACTACGAAAGGTGGTAATTTAAATAAATGGGAATAGTAATTACAATAAAAAGAAAAAAGCAAACCCAAAACCCAACAGTAGCAACCTACAGAATATAGGATTTAACTAAAAAAAAAAAAAAGTTTCTTTTACATGAAAAAATCAGTCTCATTTCCTGCATCTTACTTATAGTTTCTATTCTTTTTGTCCCATTACCTGTTGTGCAGATGACTTGCATATTGAACTGTTCAATGTTTTCATAAACAAGTCTTCTTGAGCCGTTCAAAAAGAGCTATAAAAACAGGGATACTGACCTGGTCATGCAAGCAAGTTGTTTCTGTAGGTTCTGCAAGAGCTCCAACAGAAAAGTAACTGTTGCCTTTCCAGGCTCCTGACTGGATGCAGGATTTGTTTCTCTCTCTCCAGAATCATGAGTATGCAATTGTATCAATGATCTCTCACATTTCTCCAGAATTTATTACTTCACCTCCTACTGTTCAGAATCTTCATGTAAAAGGAAAAGGAAGCCTAACTTTAGAGATGGAAAGACTATACCTAAGAGAAAACGCCAAGTGTGTCATGAGCATCGTACACTATAGTGTATTAGTGCCATGGTACAGCGCTTAAGTGGAATGGCCAGGAATGCCCTTTGACTCTCACACTCAAACTATTTCACCAGTTAAGAAAAAGTTTTATGTCAACAGTTACTTTGGTCAACATCATTATCCTGCATTAAAACATACCACAATGACTTTGGTACATAAAAGCCTTCAAAATATATTGATCTTGCCTGCCAGAATTTTTACCCCGAGAACACTGTGTTGTAAAGTTTAATAGAAGTCTGTGCATTTACTCACCCTTCTGGGTATGTGTAAATACCTTACATACGTAGTTAACTAATTTTTTTCCACATATGTTTCCATGCTCTTTCAATGGTGGAATATAATAGTATCTGGAAATGTTTAATATTTTTGAGAAACATTAACTCAGGTAACAATAGTATTGCATCTACTTTGTAATCCCAGCACACAAACCTGTTCTCTCCCCATGCTTTAGTACTTTAAAAAATTGTTCAAGATAGGAATATTTCATGGTTATCAACAGGCAATATTTATTATTATAACTGTGGACTCTACACATATAGTTGCATAAAATTATAATAGACCAATCAACAAAATCATGTTCATATGCAACTGTAAATAGCACTTTAGCAGAAGTTTAACACGTTGTGCATTAGTTGTCTTAGTAAGGTGACAACATAGATAATTATATCATGGGAATACAACAGTGCAAACTTTCACTCAGAGCATACACACAAACACATGAAAAGGATTGCTATACATGCCACAGGTTTAAAATAAACCTCAAACCAATCCCCCCCACCCCAAAACAAGTTAAATGAGTAAGTACCAGCACTCTTAGCAACCACCAGTGTTACCATATTTGAAGTCTTATTTGAAGAAATGCCCCTGGATTGGAGTTTTAAGTGTAATGCAGCTATGTTATGTTTTTGTTTGGCAAGACTGAAAGACTTACAGCACTACAGAAGCACTTAGCCAGTATATTACCAGTGATGTCTGAATTACTACATAAAGTAACTGTGTAGAATACTAGACTATTGAAGGAAACAGTGTTTTTATTTCAAAAGATGACATACAACCAAAATTCAAGTATTTAGTGTTAGACTATAGGTAATTCTGACTTTCTGTTCCTGTGCACTACATAAAGCAGATGAAGCATTATTTCATTTTTCAATTTTTATTCTTCCCTCTGGCCTGGGGAAAGTATAAAGGGAAGAACCAAACTATAGCTGCAATTCTACATCTACAGCAGTTGGTGACAGGCATATGGGCACAACTGTCCAGATCAAGATGACCTCCAGATTGTCAACATGCAGCCTTAATACTCTCAGTTCACTCCCATCTCAACACCTTCTTGTTCTTGACTGCAAGATCCCTGTTGCCCCCTACTTTTTATTTGCACCCGTTTCACCACCTGTTCCAATCAGTTGCCCAGGCAGATGTTATCTTCTCTCATGCACAAGTGAGCAGCTTAGCTGCACAATGTCATCTTTGGATTATCGGGACATAAATGGGCAGAACAGTTCCTCTCTCATAACAGGTTTTGGGAACGTCTGGAGAGATATTTACACTTCCACCTCAGCATCAGTGAAAAAGTGCTGAAGACCATATAAGCTCAAAAAACACAAAACCAAATTCTGATTAAGTACATTTAAATTCCAAAGAAAAAAATGGCCTCTTGTACTATTTTAATTACTGTCTAGATTAAAACTATTATGAAGTACTAATTTTTTTAAAATTATAAACACATTTTCTCCTGTTACCAAGTTAACCTCAAGACAGGAGTTAAACAGAAGTTACCATAAGCTTTGGTGAAAGAATCCTATACCTAGAGAGTTACAAAGAGTTCAGACTGTAACAAAATTAGTAGCAGGCATGACTACAAAAGAAAAAAAAAAGTAATGAGAAATCTAAAATTTGCATTTATATCTAAAATCTAAAAAAAGCATTTATAGCTTTTGGTGCACACACAGAGCACATCTTGTGAACATGGAGAATCAGAATGTGGAGGCTGTTTTACCAACTTTGCAATTTAATTGAGGAACGACAAACAACAGAAGTGTGAAAAACAAGGCCCACATGTATCGCGATTTAGTCCTCCAGTGCCTAAATATTTCTTGTTTTGAAAATGACCAAGTACAGCAGAGACTGTGCCTTCAACAAGGAAAGGAAAAAACTAAATTTAGGCTAGCCCTCTTCAAAGCATTTCTACATGCAGTGTAACCACTATATTAATACATGAACAACACTTCTATTTCCCTGGATTTAAGGGCAAATAAACCATCAGAAATGCACTTGCAAAAGGATGAAAGCATCAGAAAACTATAAAGCAAGCAAGGACTGTGTGCCTGTATATATAAATTTCTATAAACACACACACAAATGGTTGGGTTTTTTTGTTCATTTGTTTGTTTGTTTTCTTCGAATCAAAGCAGAACACAGTGTATTCTTTCAAATGGGTTTTGGATGGGCAAGTATGAGTAAGATGGATAAAGAAAATGACAAAGGAAAAGAACAGTGAGATTTTATTTCCTTGGCAAGTGGAAGTACAGAGATGTTACTTGCAGCACTTACTGTTCTTACCTTTTAGATCCCAACTCATCACAAATTACAGGATAACTACATCAGTGGTGGAACTTACCACACAACTTACATTTTCAAAATTATTTATTTTTCTTAAGAGTATCCCCACTTTACACAGGCTACGAACCTGAAGGAAACACATCTGCTTCTGAATGTTGTAATAGTATGTGTTTTGGGCTGTTCAAAGTCAAAGAAGTAGTCCTGAGATTTCAGATGTTAAAGCTTTCTCCACAGCCACATGTTCCTTTGATGTTTGGATTATTGAAAACAAATTCACTCGACAGCTTATCTTCTATATAGTCCATTTCAGTTCCTAGAAGTGTCAGCTGTGCCTTCTTCTCAATAAACACTCTAACCCCTTGAAGATAACAGGAAAAAAAGAGGAATTACATACAGCAAAACCATCATTCTCTTTGAAATTCTCTTTTGCCAGGTGATTAAAAAAAAGGAGCTAAATAAGAAGACTACCAGTATAACTTGGTTTCCCTGGTCTAATTTCATCACTGTTTTCACTCTACCTACAGAAGTTTGGCAACAGTCTAGAACTGTTACTTGTGTGTGGACATGCATGTCTGTATTGTGATGGGGGACAAAAAATAATGATACTGAGGAAAATAAGCTGTAGAACCTGTGAACGAATCTCAGCTTCAGTACACAATTCCCATGCATTACAGACTGTAAACCATTTCATACACTTCTTAAAGTCTGTGAATCCAACAAGATGACCCAAAACTTTGAAAAAACAAATGTTCTTCTCTCAGAATGATTGGGTTTTGCCCCCCCCACACCAAATGTTTTTCTGCTGCATCAGAAACTCACCATCTTGAACTACTTCTTCATCAGAGTCTCCTTTTGATTTTGTATACTCTAATGTGTAAGAAAGTCCATTGCATCCCCTTGTACGAACACCCACTTTCACACCCACCTAAAAAAAAAAGACAATAAAAAGCCACCACCACATGCATGACTTCTCTTTTAAAACCTATTGTGGAACATCAAGTTAAAAAGTATGCAGAACAACAAAATGCTGACATTTATTATTCTTCACTGCCTTAATAGAGAAGTGAATTACCTTAATGGATTAAGAGGTAACATGTTTTTCCTTTTACAAATTTGACTGCCATGGTAAAAGAAAACATCAGATACTTGCTGCTGTGGGTCAACCCTTAAAGGATGTTAAAGTTTTGAAATAACACATTGTTGGCATCCTTGTAGGTACCAGGTCTCATAAAGACAGTCAAATTCAAAGACAGCATTTTTGTGACTTTAAGTTGAAGTTTACTCAGATGCTAAATCAGGTACTACGTAAAGATTATTGATGGTAACATAATTATAAAGCTGTGAGACCAGACAAGGGCAGCTAATAGATTTTCACAGAACTCTTGTAATGACACCATCAGAAAATTTAATTCAAACCGAAGTTCTGAAAACACTTTGATTTCATCACTACCTTTATTGCCAGTTTCACCTAAAAAGCAATCCCTTCAAGTATGTATATTTGCTTACTGTTTTAATTGACCTTAAAAGCTAACCTAGTCAATGTTTGCAACACGGCATTCAACAAGTCTGACAAAAAGAGCATATCTGTAAGGAAAGCGCGAGAAAAGGTTTTAATGAAATCGAAAACTATCTGTGCTCAACAATCTTTCAGAAGTATCTGTATCACCTTCCACACACCAGTGCTTCATAACTGAAGAGGCGAATTTTGTTATCTATCTCTGTAATCAATGTTATGATAAAAATGTATCAAAACATATCACCTGCCATCAAATGGGCTCTCAGACAAACTACATCTGATCCTTTCAGACTAAATACCTTTCTCTACAGGAACTGCTACCAGTAATGCGCTGGAAAATGTAAACACCATTCATAGCAAGGGAATGACTGACCATGTAATTTGTAGGCCCAAGGCCTCCTTGGGATGGTTTAAAACATTAGAACAAATAGTCTAATGAGTTGCAGATGTGCAGGAAGCAAAACAAACAATGGGCCTTGTAGGAAAGAGAAAAGAGAAATAATTCTTCTTGTAATAGTAATACTTACAGTAAAGAAAATCTAATGCTTTTTTTTACAATGGCTATAAAGGAAGACTCTGTGTGTCTTTTGCTGAAGAAGAAAAGATGACAAGCTCAATTAGTTATTTGGGGAAACACTGATTACATGAAAAATACATTGTCTGGCAGGTTTCCTAAAAATTATTAGATGTTTTCTAATGCATATGAATATAACTTTATTATTGCATACTTCACAGTGAGAATTTCTAAAAGAACTTAAATTACTTCTTAATATCAACAGCTGAAGATCTCTTTCCCCTCAGGAAGTCACCACTGTGCCGTACTAAAAGGCTTCATTAAAATGTAGCTCAAAAATATGTGAAGCTTAAAACTTCTTCAGTTTTTTTAATCTCAACAGTAACTGTACAGTGAAATGTCATTACAGTTGGTTATTTCCTGCATTTCATTTCATTCCTGCATTTCATTTTATAAAAAATGAAGCTTGACAGAGACACAATCTTATGCATTCCCCTCCAAAAAAAAGATGTCAATATCGCTAATGAACACCTCAGTGTTTATTTCAAACTTCTAAGTTAGCCAGAAAGTGTTTGCAATCATGAGCTGAGCTGTGCTAATACCTTAGCACAATGTACAGATTGACTCTGTCTATCTATACTTACATGCTCAGGTTTATCTTTCAGAAGCTCTTTTATCTTCTGAACAGCAGATGGGGTCTGAAAGACAGAACCAAACACATAAATTTGAAATTATTCTCTTTGTTTATTTGCTGTGTTTGCATGTATTAAAGTGTGCAGTGTACTCAATTTCACTGTAAAAAAATTTTATTCCAACTCCGTGTACTCATATTTTCTTAGTTTACATTTGTCTTCTATCTGCAAAGTCCCCCTTCAGCATTAGCCACCTATCAGTATTGACTGTTCTGTGTTCTACTTGAAACTGATGCCTGTGTGTATCTGAAGATACACACTCTGCTGTAAAACAGATGTCTGTTGAAACTAATCCATATAGAACACAATAACTCTTCACTTGCCTCCTCACCCACCTCAAGAAACGCAGTGCTTAAAAGTAGGGGGTTTGGTTGTTAGAATCATAGAATGGTTTGGGTTGGAAGGGACCTTAAAGATCACCTCGATCCAACCCACCTGCTGTGTGCAGGGAACCTTCCACTAGACCAGGCTGCTCAATGCCCCATTCAATGTGGTCTTGAACATTGCCAGGGATGGAGCATTCACAGCTTTGCTGGGCAATCTGTTCTAGCGCCTCAACACCCTCACAAGGAAGAATTTCTTCCATAAATCTAACCTAAATTTCCCTCTTTCAGTCTGAACCCTCTACTCCTTGTCCTATCACTACTACAGTTCCTGACAAAGAGTCCCTCTCTGGCTTCCCTGCAGGCCCCCTCTGGATAGTGGAAGGTTGCCATGAGGTCTGCATGTAACCTTCTCTTCTCCAGGCAGAACAGCCCCAACTTTCTCGGCCTGTGTTGATAGGGGAGGTGCTCTGCTCCCGTTATCAACTTCGTGGCCTCCTCTGGACCTGCTCCAACAGTTCCGTGTCTGTTTTGTGTTGGGGGCACTAGAGCTGAATGCAGTACTTCGGTGGGGTCTCACCAGAGCAGAGTAGAAGGGTAGAATCATCTCTTTCACCCTGCTGGCCACACTGCTTTTGATGAGCCCAGGATATGACTGACTTTTTGGTCTGCAAGTGCACATTGCTGGGTCATGTCCAGCTTCTCATCTACCAGCACCCGTGAAGCTTCTCAATTAGGCACAGGAGGGCTTATGGCCTACTTCTCTCTTCCCATTAGCCTAGAGGGTGACTTTACAGCAGATAAAATTCACTGTTCATGCAGATCTAGTTGTTGCAGAAATTCAAGAATACAACACAAGCATTAAAATTTCCATCACATGCCTACAAGTTTCGAAGACATCGAGAAAAGCAAAAGCATTATTAAGATGAAGTTCTTACACTGAGCCGGCTTAAACATACAAAGCAAACCACAAATAGCCTTGCAGTAGAAAATTTTTTCTAATTACTGCTACCACTCTTCGTTTGTTACAGAACCACTACTGAAAAGGAACTACCTGCTCTGACAAACGACTGAACTGTGTGCGCACACAATCTGCCCCTGCTCCTGGAGGGAACTGACCGTACTTTCCTCTGCACTGACCCCTCTCACGATCAATTAGGCTGGAAAAGACCTCTGAGATCATCGAGTCCAACCCATGACCGAACACCAAGTTTTAAAGCGTGGCCTCCCCAGTACGGCCGCTAGTACAGAATGCACTTCCTTTATTATTAACAACAGGATATAAATCCTTCGTGGAAACAACTTATTCGTCAGCTTTGGTAGGTAATGCATTTCCTTTTTTAAAAAATTTTAAATAAACGCATAAAATACACTTCCTGGGGTGCCTGTGCAACAAGGCCCCGTGCACGAAGGGCCGCTCTGGTGCTGCCCTGGGACTGCGGTTCCCCAGCCGGCGCGGGGGACCTTCTGTCAGCGGGATTAGCGAGGAGCAGCAGCCTCTGAACTCGAAGGGGGAAGGACAGCCCCCCAAGGCCGCTCGCAGCGCCCTCCTCCGAGCATCGCCCGCCGCAGCCGCCCCGCGGGGGCTTCGGCCCCGCCGATCCCGGCCCGGCGCTGCCCGCCCAAGCAGCCCGGCCCCTTCCTCGTCCCCACTCGCTGTCGCCAGGGGCGGCCGCGCTCCCCGGGCCGGGGGCGGGAGGCCGTGGCGCAGCTCCCGAACCCGTGAGGAGCCTCGGCCCCGGGTCCGCCCCGCTGCCCACCGGCGGCACTAACCAGGGTGAGAGCGGCGCGGGTCGCCTGGATCCTGCGCTTGCTGACGGCGCGCACCGTGGCGCGCACCACGGACGAGGCCATGGCCCACCGCCCTCGGCCATCAGCAGGGCCGCCCCCCCGCACTGACGCCACCACGCACGGCACCGCCCCGCCGGGCCCGGCTCTGACGAGCGGCGGCTCCGCCCCCGGCCCCGGGCGGGGCCCCGCAGGCGGCAGGGCTGCGTGCTGCGATAAAAGCCCGGGCGGCTCGGACGCGTTGCTCTTCACGGTGCACCCGCGGAGGACGCAGCGAAAACAGCTGTCCGGGTGTCACGTGGAAAGGGAAGGTTTTTGTTTGATTAGTCTGTCGGCGCCCCTGAAGGACTCACGTTAACTGATTATGGAATAACAATCTTTATTGATACAGAACGTTAAGGGGTTGGAATTGACCTTAAAGATAATCCAGCCCTGGTATTCTGCCATGGGCAAGGACACCATCCGCTAGACCAGGTTGCTGAAGGCCCTATCCAGCCTGGCTTTGAACATTGCCAGGGTTGAAACATCTGCAACCTGCCTGGGCAGCCTGTCCCAGCGTTTCACCAACTTCACAGTAAAGAATTTCTTCCTAATATCTAACCTAAATTTCCCCCCTTGTTCTGTCACTACAGTTCCTGACAGAGTCCCTCTCTGGCTTCCCTGTAAACCTTCTTTAGATACTGGAAAGTCACTCAGTTCTCCACACAACCTTCTCTTCTCCAGGCTGAACAGCCTCGACTTTCTCAGCCTGTCTTGGAAGAGGAGATGCTCCAGTACTCTTACTAACTTCGTTGCCCTTTTCTGGACTTGCTCCAACAATTCCATGCTCTTAAGTTGGGGACACCAGAACTGTACACAGCACTCCGGGTGAGGTCTCACCAGAGAAGAGCAGAGAGGCAGGATTATCTCCCTCAGCCTGCTGGCTATGCTGCTTTTGATGCAGCCCAGGATTCTAACAGGGCAAGTTTCAGTGGTTGCTGGTGATAATATCTGACTGCAAAAACATATTCAAAGCAATATAGTAATTCAAAGCAACCTATTAACGAGCTCTAATCCCAAAGAAAAGCTAGCTGAAGATAGTAATTCAGTGTGCATAGAACACTGTTCTTACCTGATAGGCATCCCCATGGGGGAAAAGATGGGTTCAGCCTGTTGACTGACCCCAAAAATTATGATGGAGTCTTCCCTAATTTCCCCCTATTCTTAATTCACTTTTGTATTATTTCCTTATGTTTAGGTAGAGCTTGAGTGACTCCAATCATACATCTTACTCAGTGAGCAGTGGTCATACCCTGGGGGTGGATATCTCAGTTAGTACCTGAGATAACCTTGGGATGGGAAATGCTTCAGTCCAAGGAGAATGATTTCACCATGGTTGCTGATTCAACAGTGGGATGTCTTCCTTTATCTCTCTTGGTTTTCAGCTGCTGTGCAGCTTATCAGCTAGAAAGTACCACCAAATTCTCTCCTGTGCAAGGGAGCATGGCTTACAGTGTCTCCGTTCTGCTCCACACACCATTTAGTCCTGATACTAGAGTTTTGAAGTGTAACAGGACTAGTACAAGAGAATGTACCATGGAAAATTACCTATAGCTGAGCCAAGCAATTTAAAGAAACTAGCCAAGCAAAGTAAATAAACAATGAAGAATGGGACCAAAACAGCCAGGTGGGCAACACCCATTTACTCTGTAAGCAGGTGTATTGTCTTACAGATGTTCATAAGGCAGTTACTTAGAACTTTGGGGGCTCCAGACAGAAATGACCACCAGAGACCCCTGGTGAAGCCACTCAGACATCTTATAAGGATATATGCTAATAAGTGTTGGGAAATGTCATAATATGTAACAGGAATGCAAAGAACAAAAATTAATAATCATGTAATGCTGACATATCAGCTGTAGCGAAGATACCTCTGTGTGCACTTTGGGTTGGGATAAGGCAGTTTATTTAAAGCAAAAAGCAAACTGTAAGCTTACGTGCACAAAAGGGAAGCGAAGCAAAAGATAACATGGTTTTTTCTCTACTTCCCATGAGCAGCGATGGTCGACCACTCCTGAGCAGCAGGGCTTCAGGACACGTGATGGTTCCTCAGCAGGCAGCCATTGGAGACAATGACTGCCTGCCTTCCTGCTCCTTGCCTCAGCTTTTCTATCTGAGCTGACATCATATGGTATGGAATACCCCTTTTTGTTAGTTGGCCTACTTGGGTCCCCTCCCAGGATCCTGCCCTAAACTGAGGAGGGAATGTTACAGTGCTGATGCTGTGCTCAGCAGTAGCCAAAACAGTGGTGAGTTATCGACACCCTTCTAGCTACCAATGCAAAGCACAGCACTGTGAGGGCTACTGAGGGGAAATGAACTCCAGCTCAGCCAAACCCAATATAATCACTCATAGTCTTTATGCAGGCATAAAGGGACAGAGTATGCAAGTGGCTCAAAAGAGGTCTTCTAAAACTATTTGTTTATTAGTATTTATTACTACATTTTATTAGTATGAATTTAGTTGTAAACTATTATTTTATTACTGTTACTTTTAATATAATTCTTTTTCTAGAAACTTTTTACTAATGCAGTGTGTCTATGTGCAAAGTTGCTCCCTTGAGAACATACTCTTATAAGGCAAACAGGGTATCTTCTATGTCAAGAATTGTTACGAAGAACTTACAGGTCTCCAATTTTAATTTTCAATCAATCTCCTATACTTTACAACTTAATCCATCAGATATATATGCTATGCCTCCTCAACTGCATTTCTTCTGTGTCAGACATTCTGTAAATTATGACTGTGGTATTTAAAAACTTTTTAAACAAACAAAGGATTGCTTAATAGTTTAATGTCTGTAATATATATCCCAAGTTTGGGCATTTCACTTCAAGGCTATGAGATTAGCAACTATATAGAATTAGTAGTTGCATAAGGAAACAGCATCTTCAAATGAGAAGACTCATGGATCTGCAGAATGAGTTTTTATCCAGATGCAAGTTTAGAAATTTCACCGTTGAAAATGTCACCACTGAACTACAAAGTATCACAAAGAGAAAAGGATGAGTATACATAAATCTGATTATGTTTTTCTTTTAAAAATAACTTCTGTCTTTGAGATCAAGCCATAGTCCCCTAGAGGTTTACACAATTCATTCTCATCAGCAAAACTGGAACTCTGAACAAAGGGTTAAATAAAGCACACAGAATTCATGTCAGCCTTTTTTTTTATATATATGAGTGAAAAACTACAATAATTAATTTATTTTTGAGGGAAGAACTGACTTTATTTCAGATGATGAAATATGCTATAGATTACAAAGTTGGAATTATTTTCTCTTTGTTGCTGGCTAATATTTTGCTTGAAAATATGTTTAGAAAAGTACACAGAACAAATTCTTTGTGAAAGTAGCACATCTAGAAATTCACAGATAGCTGACTTCAGATGGATGAAAACCAAAGCACGAGTTAGGATCCCAGTTCCTTAAGACCACTTTGGCAATTCTAGTTTTCAACTTTAATAAAAATAGATGGACAAGTAAAAAAAAATTGAACATGATATTTCTAAAACAAGATAATTCTAATAACTCATCATTAATTCTACATTTATGTCAGGAACATTGAAAACTACAACCTAAGAAAAATTACAAGATCTTAAATCTGATTTTTTTTAATTTTTATTAAATCTGATTTTATTTATTTATTTCAGATTCATAAATTAACAGTGGTTTCCATTTTAACATGTAATTTATTCTTTCCTGAACAAGACAAAATGGTACATTACCAGCTCTGGAAAGACTTCAAGTAAAGCTCAAGTTCATACTACTAATGAATGTAAATTCTTGACTGGTACAAGGATTCTCTTCACATTCTATGAAAACGGACGTGTGTTTTTCCCCATTTGCCAAATATAATAACTCTATTCCTTAAAATACTTCTATTCCTTTTGTCTGTATCCCCAAGGCCTTGAAAAAGATTCTTAGCAGCAACAAAACAGGACAGACCTGTTTCTTAGTCTTTTTTTCTGCTTGAACACAAGCACAGCAGCAAATGAACTCCCATGAAGTCACAGAACAGAAAAAAACCTCACAAAATCTCAACGGCGCTCCTTGGCAGGGATTGTTTTACATATGTTTACTAGTGTCTATGTTTTCAGTTCTCTACAGAAATGAAAGATAATGTACCAATCTACAAACATTTCAAACACTTACACAAGGATTCAGTAAACAATTAACATTAATAAATATAATTTGCTCCTTCAAAAAAATTAATTTTTGAAGAAAATATAATTTATTTGGCTTGCACACAATTTTAGTGCAGTTTAAGATGGTCAGGTGGAACAACAAAACCTTGAAAACAGTTCATTTTAGTACCTGCCCTTTTCTAGATGATTTACCTAGTAAACAAATACAAAACATCACGGCTTTCTATTAAAATGTTTAAACAATCTATTTAAGAGCAGGGTTCCATATTAGAATCCACAGTTGCTTGTACTAGCAATCTAAAATAAAACTTAAGTCGAATGTTGTCTGTGCTGCTGTCCTGTGAATCCAGATGCTTTAGCCAAGGACATTTCTTTTAAATGAATGATGGGCCTGTACTGCAATTTACCAGTGCTTAATAACCCTCATGATTCTTGTTGGGTCTTCTTCTGTGAGGCTTTTCCCTGAGTCATGTATTTATTGGAAAGGCTGCCTAAGATTGGGAGGAAGAAAGCATCACACTTTAAAGGTATTGGTTTTTTCTTTCTTTCTTTTTTTTAAAAAAGACAAGGCATAAACCAACTGAAAGAATCAGAAAGGAGATAATTACTGTTAAGTCAAACTATAATGAAAGGACACACAGATCAATTTTAGATCATTACCTGCTGAAGGACAGTAAGAAATATTAAAATACAAAATTGAAAATCAGCATTTTTTTCAACTAAACACCTAGTGACAGATCACTTTGTGTTAAAAATCCCCAAACATAGATTTGAAAAAGCCTTGCGGTGAAGACAAAATCCACTGTGTCTTCCCAACAAAACTGATAATTTGAGATAGTTAATTGCAGTAAAGTCTTTACAATTTTTGGAAAACTAATTAGGTCTCCCTTCAGCTGCCTCAGTAGAGATTTGTATATTATAAACCCAAGCTGCTAAAAGGTTTGCAGAGTTGTACTAGAAACTCAAAATAATTGAAAAAACTCAGTTGTTTTTAAAATCTTCATTGTACCTGTTAATAAGTATGTGAAATTACTGTAAGGAAGCTACATTTGTAATCATGCATCTGAAGCAAAACATCTCTGATCCAGAAAGAATACATAAAGGCCTTTATAATATAATCTCACTACTACTTTTAAATGTAATTCTAACTTGTTTGTATTTTGGCAGCTCAGACCAAGGATGTAGTTTGATTGTCTCTCCTAAGTTATTTTATCATGTATAATTCTAGACAATTACTCTGAGGAAGATGCCCAAGAAAGCACTCCATGTTTTGTCCCTGAACAACCAAAGAACCCCATCTGTGCCAAAACAGGAAAGAGATATTGATAAAACCCCACCATATCCTTCACAATAAAATAAGTGCACAGAATTTTTATGCCCAAGTTTTGCTTCCAAAACAAAACTTAAAAATTGTACATGTTTCCAGCTGAAAAAAAAAAAAAAAGGTGTCTTCAATCTATCCAGACTGCCACTATGTTCAGCAAATTAGGCAGAGTTTCCATATGGAGTGATGGAGAATCATATAATTATAGAATAGTTTGAGTTGGAAGGGACCTCTAAAGGTCATCTAGTCCAACTGCCCTACCATGAGCAGGGACATCTTTAACTAGATCAGGTTGCTCAGAGCCACACCCAACCTGACTTTGAATGTTCCCCAGGATTCGGCATCCACCACCTCTCTGGGCAACCTGTGCCAGTGTTTTACCACCCTCATTGTGAAGAACTTCTTCCTTTAATCTGATCTTAAAGTTGACTCCCAGTTTTAAACCATTACCCCATGTAATCACAACAGTCCCTGCTAAGAAGTTTGTCCCCACCTTTCTTACAGGCCCCTTTCTATAACTGAAAGGCCAAAATAAAGTTTTCCTGGAGCCTTCTCTTCTCCAGGCTGAACAACCCCAACCTACTCAGCCTGTCTGTAGGAAAGGTGCTCCATCCCTCTAATCATTGTTGTGTCCCTCTTCCGGACTCGCTTCAACAGGTTGATATCCTTCCTGTGCTGGGGACCCCAGAGCTGGATACAGTGCTCCAGGTGAGTTCTCACCAGAGCAGAGCACTGCCCTCAACCTGCTGGCAACACTGCTTTTACACAGTTTCTAAATTGAAATGAAGAGATACAAACCTGACTGGGGACTCAAAAACACTTTTCCTTTTTGTTTCTTTTTTTCTTCATGTATAAGCACTCCCTATAAAAAACATACACACATCAACAAAATTGAAATATGTCATTCCACAACATAAAAGGTTTTCCCTGAAAGTCATTCTTAATTACTTTATATGGACTTTAAACCATATAAAAAATAAAAGATCAAACAAAAGGGACACGTGGTGTTTACCTGATTTAATCTACCAGCATGTTTGACAGTACTGGGCAAAGAAGGGGATCCACACGACACTTCTGGTTTTGAGCCACCTGAAAAAGTCATAACAATGAGTTGCTAACTTGAAACTAGTTTCCATTTCGGATATCATAAGAGAAGAATATCAAAATATTTGCAATCTAGAATCACAGAAAATAGAAGGTAAGACAATGTAAATTTCCTCAATTTTATAACATGGAAAACTGGCACAGGTGACATGCATCTAAGTTAGGAACCCACATAGAACCAGGGAACTTAGAATGAATGAAGATATGGTGATAAGTGAATTGTCCGTAGTCTTACAAAATGTAGCAGATCAAAGAGCAAAGTCTGACCTCTCAGGTTCATTTGTTCATAGTACTTTATTCAACTAGAGAGAACACTTCAGGCACTAAGCAAGCAATGTAAGACAAAGCCCAACCTATAACAATTCCTTTCAAATTCAAATATAGAAATTCCCAAAATTCAGGTAACAGACAAAAACGCCTACTCCAGAATTTATTATTTTAGACATATATACTGTACAGCCTAAGCACAGTTCCCTATGATGAATGCTAAAAAGCATTAACTACAAGTCAGGCATATTCCCCTCCACCTTAGCAAACTCAGTATCATGGCAAACAGAATGGCAGAAAGAAAAGCTGAACGAGACAAGGTCAAAGATAAACAAACTCAAAAGTTAAATTTAGACTTGACATACACCTTCAAAAGGTCAGAGGCTGAATGAAGCATGGCTTCAATTTTTAAACATCTTTTCTGTCCATCCAATACTTCTAGTGGTCTATCAAACTAGGAATCCTTCTAAATACCTTCACAGTTCTGAATATATTTGTACCACTTTTCTCCCTCTTCCAGTATTTTAACACAGTCTTATGCCCTCTTTCACTAAATACATCTGATTATGAAGGGTCTCCTGACCTAAGCCAGACAGAATATTTTTGCTAGTAGAGAAAAGCTGGTTTGAAAAATGTTTAAACACAAGATTCCTATCTGTTCCTTTAAGAGGTCAAGTCATGAGTAATCTGTAATTCCAGCCTGAATTTAAATGCACTTAGGTTTACCTACAGGGAACTGTGACACAGTGTTCCTTTGGAACCTAACCACAAGTACTATCTATTGTCTTAAGCCTCAGTTTTATCTAAGAAAGATATTCCTTCACAACACAGATGATCCAAATTATTTAAAGGATGACTTAGATACTGCTAAGCAGAAATATTTCATTTTTTCATTCAGGTCTGTCAGTCAGGATCTGTAAGATGGACTGCTGTATCCCTCCAACTGCTGGATTGGCAGAAATATTCTTTATTTTATTTAATTCACAGTATTCTATCTGAGCAATCTGTATACTTTCATACTGACTTCAGGTTCATATGGAATAATTCTGGTTTAGGTGATGTGAAGAGTTATATAATGCTAGCTTTTGTTGCAATTATGATGTACTGGAATAGAAGCTGTAATCTGAAATGTTAGCAAGCTCATATACTGTGACAACACCGGAAGCAATTTCAACATAATTGATACTCATACCCTTTTCATTACAAATATCTGCTAAGGGAAACCATACCAGATCCCTTGGGATACAGCAAATTTCTGAATGAAAGGTGAAGATGAGGGGAAAAGAGGTTAAATGTGACTGCATTTAAATAAAAAAAGAAAGCATTTACATGATACCTTTCAAGGTAAAAACCTTACCTGTTAGTCAATCCTCAAAAAATTACCAAAAACCTATAAGCGCTGTTTAAACTACTCAGCCTGATCTGTTTCATACCTGCAACTCCTTTATAGTGTGGGCATTCCTTTTTAATATGACCTTCTCTTCCACAGATAAAACAACGTTTTTCTCTTAAGTCTCTGTCTTCCGGGCGCTTCCATTTCTCTGCTGATTGCCTGGGAGTTTTCTCTCTTCCAGTTTCCACTATTACCCTTGCTAGTTTCCTCTTCTGAGGCGTACATACATGCAACTTCCCCTCCTTGACTGAGCTGTCCTTTTCTGTTGATTTATTATGCATTTCTTTGTCCTCTTTGCTTCTTTTCTCCTTGACTTCAGCATGCCTCTGTGTACCTTCATAATCACGACGCCGTCTTAGTCTGCAGAAGCAGAGAAATGCTGCAGAGTTCACAGGCCTTACATTCATACACAGAGTCAAAAAAAACAGAATGAAAAACCACGTGCTGTCCACAGACAACAGTAGTTTTTCAGTGGGTTAAATAAAGTGAATTCATGTACCTTTCCCTTTGACTCTCTTACCAAACAGTGCTACACTGATGTAACATATATTTAATAACTTAACTTTACAATTAGATGACAATACAGTCCTAAATTCTAATAGTTATAACTTGAAAAGTATAAACATGACTGAAAATCTGGGCGCTCAAGTTGCAGACAGTGGAAGAAAAGACACACGAAGCAAAATGCCAGCAAAGTGTAAAAAAACAGGGCTGTTGTTCTATTTTTTTTCCTATTTGTACAATTTGATCAAAACTCAGTTCCTTCCTTCTGAACCTGTGCATATTCACTCTAAAAGTCTCTCCTATTGGGAGAAGCTTCTAACATTTTATGTAACTTAAAGATCTAGCAGTGGGGAAACAGCTACCACTGCCAGACTTGTTTCATCTAACATCTTTCTTTATACATCACCTAGAGAAGGAGACATCACTGAAACCTCCAAGTCTGCAGATGTTACTAGGCTCCTCTGGTCATGAGATGCAGTGCTAATTGCAAGCAACTTGAAAATACTTCACAAAACTGAATGAACGGGCAAAAGAATGGCATGAACGGGCAAAAGAATGGCATGAGCTTCAAGCTTCCTTTTTTTTTTTAAAAAAAAGCAAAAAGGAAGACCTGGGGCTGTTTAGTCTCACCTCTGCCTGGTAAGATCATGGACCTGATCCTCCTAGAACCTATTGCTAAGGCATGTGGAAAACAGAGAGGCAAATGGTGACAGCCAACACACCTTCACTAAGGGCAAATTATGCCTGACAAATTTGGTAGCTTTCTGTAAGAGGGCTACAGAGTTGGTGGGTAAGGGAAGAGTGGCTGATATCATCTACCTGGACTTGTCCAAAGCATTTAGCACTGTCCCACACAACATCCTTTTCTCTAAAATGGAAAGACATGGACTTGACAGATGGACCACTCACTGGATAAGGAACTGGCTGGATAGCTGCACTCCAAGCATTGTGGTCAATAGCCTGGTGTCCATGTGAAGACTAGCTATGGGTGGTGTTCCTAAAGGTCTGTATTTGGACCAATATTATTTAACATCCTTATTAGGGACATAGCAAGTTAATGGATGACTAAAAAGAGATTGGCTTCAAACAGATACAAGAAAGTATTACTTTACACATCGGTCAGAACTCTTATGGAACTGGTTGCCACAAAAGACTGTTAAGGAAACCAGGACAATCAGGTTCAGGAAAAAAACCCAAACAAACAACTAAAAGGACGAAATCATAAAACAAATCCAGTCCACAAATGAGCATTACCAGACCAGGGCATGTATATGCTCTAACATCTCTTATACAGCAACTGCAGATGCTGAGGGAATAAGTAAGAAGAGACTACAGAAAACAGACAACTAGTTTGCACTCCATAGACAGCACCCCTATTGCAATGAATGGACAGAGGACTCAAATGTATCAGTGGTTTTACCTGCTAAGGCATTTCTGTTCTTAGATGCATAATCCCACTTACTTTCCCTCTAATGTTTTGTTGAACATAGCTGAGTATGTGCAACGAACTGGTGTTTCACTTTAGAATGCAAGATTAAAAATCCATGTGAGATAGTAGTTTAGACATTTCGCACCACCTTCAGCACTCTTTAATTTCAAACTATCATCAGCTACTGTACTTGCATTTGCTGAAGTTGAGTAAATGTCCAAATTAATAGTCTCAACAATATAAGTTCACAATTCTCAAATGTGGAGTAGAACAGCTACTTCATTCAACCCAATGTATTTTTTTATTTAGGTGATTTTTAGTTACAGCTTTTAACATAGATAGACTTTAAACAATGAGTAGATTTTGCCATCCATCTTACAAGTGAGCATAAAGGCTTTTTCAAGATTTCATTCTTTTTAAGTTTTATTTGTCAGTTTTCACTATTTTATAGACATGAAGTCTTTAAAGAGATTTGTCTAAACTAGAAAACAAAACGAAACAATCAGTTTCAAGTTTAGACATTTCATAACAGGAAGAGCAACAAAAGCCATATAGCCAATTTATTTGTTGCAAAAAGAAAATTGTTGAGTATTTGACATGTGGTTGTTCAGGGTCAGGAAACATTCTCTTGGATGTAAAACAGAACATTGTTCTCATATGTGTGTGCTTACAAAAAATAATGCATTCCTGTCTTGCTTTTTGACATGAATTACAGGATTCTGTGAACATGATAAAATTGTGTCTTGCTGGGAGCGCAGAGTTCTGGTAGTCGATGCTATTGAATAAAAAAAAGTATAAAATGCATCCATGAATGCTTTTCACAGAACACAGTTATTGAGCTCTGCTTTTCTCTTTGACTACTCCTTTCCTATATAATGAAGTGCAGAGTCAGCATTGCTACCTTAAGCTAAACAGTTTTGCAGCAATACCATCCACCACTGCCAAAATTGGTACTGATACATCTTAATTTCAACAGTGAAGGAAATAATCTGCAGCATGTACAAGTTTTGCTTTAGCATTACTATTCTAATCTTTCTTAAATAAACCTAAGGGAAAAAAGTTACACACAGACACCAGTACTACACTCACTTTCGTCTCATGGGACAATCTTTCATGAAATGGCCAATTTTACCACAAGTTCTGCAGCATCTATCATTTGGTGCCAGTTCTCCTTCTGTTAGTACCTCAGGATCAAAAAAGTACTCCTGTAGAAGAAATCATGCATTTAAAATGAAAATCCATACACTTGGGAATAAAGACAGATATGTAGACTGTTAAAACAACAGTAAGAGTTACAGAAAAGAATAAACTTGGTGTCTGCAGCTGAACCCTGAAAGACTTGTTAAGTTAACTGGCCACTGACCTCTTCTTTGACAGGCAGCCTACCAACCAGGTCTGCATGCTCTTTTATAAAACTGCAGTTTTAAGAATGGTGGTTTTGATCTGGATTAAAATACGTAAGTCTGTACAATGAAACTGTGACTTGACTAGTATTCTGCTTACCAACATATTTCACATGCAAATAACATTAAAACAGTACTCATCAATAACTCACATAAAGGTTTTTAGAGTACTGTGGAAATGTAAGAGAAATAGTTTAAAGTAACCATACTCCTGCTAACAGTAAGTTACACACCAAAAAGCACACACATACTCCTCTTAGAATAACTTACCATTTTTGATGGGTATTCTTTAGGAAATACTTTTATAGGGGTACCGAACACCCTTCTGCCATTGATAAAAGCCTTCATTATAAAATTTGTCACTGGGGAAGAAAAAAAACCCAAACTGAAATACTCATCTAAATATCAAACCAGAAATTAAAATGACATCTAAGACAAGATTTTCACTTTGTAACCGAAATTGTTAACAGAAGACTTACTTTTTCTTGACAATCCAGCTCCAAGATTGTGGTTCAAATCAAAGGGATCTGTAGAAAAAACATGACAGGCATTACTAAGTCCAGGGCAAGATCGGTAAGGCATATATACATATGAACAACCCAAGGCAACTATTCGAGATGCAGAATTAAGACAGTGAAATCGATCTGTTCACAAATCTACTAGGAATAAATTAAGTCCATGGACAAAGGATCACAGCTGACCAGCTGTGAACCAACTGAATTATTGTAAAAGAGTAAGCTGAACGTGCAAGCAAGAGAATAGAAATTCTTTCCGTGAAAGTGAAATGGGCCAGAAAATGATTTACAGAACACTTCTAAAATGTGTCACTGCATTTTCTTGTCAGAGACCATAGTGTAACACTTAACAGTGTAATCATACACAGGGTTGAATAAGTAATGTAAATAAGGGCTCAGCTAAACTTAGTATTTTTGAGAAAACCTCAACTGCATTAAAATTAATTGCTTTATCAAAGCATTTCCTTAAATCTATTTTTCTGTCAGTTACTGTCATAGTGAAAAGTATGAAGTCTGCTATGCAACTTCTTTTCAGTAGCAAAAAAACCCCTTAAGCACTACCAAAACTGAATCGCAATTTTGTGATGATTTCAAAACAGGAGCAAATAACTTATAATCTAGTAACAGTAAAAGAAATAAGCCTTATGAGAAAACCAGAATTTTCAAGTGGGCATTAAAGAAATTCATATATTCACATACTTCATATGCTTTTACCTTCAATTACAATATATTTTGAAGTCCACTGCTTCTTGAAAGTTGTGAGCAGATTTTTTCTCCTAATGCAGATGACATGCTCTTTAAAATCAAATTCTTCTGTGTAGAACCGGAGAAGTCCCAGCCACAGTTGCCCAACAGATTCAGTGTTTTTGCCATAGTCTGGCCAAACAACTGACTGAAAATGACAGAAATATTTTTATGTCCAGTATTTACATTAAGCAGAATAATTTCCATAATTTCCAAACTCAAACAATATAAGTCTTATTTTATAAAGAAACACAACTGATTTATACCAGAATACTTCCTTTCATAATTGGTATTAATAATCCAATAGTGATTTTAAATGGTATATTTTTTTATTTATTAAAAAGAAAAGTGGACAACTAATAAAACTTCTAGCATTAGGTTTTGCCTGTATAAAAAAGAATTTATTAATTCACTTTATGTATCTATATTATAAAATAAAATTATTCAACAGGATTAACTAGCTATGACCAGATATACAGAGAGTATTTTTAAGAGTTATCTCCAATCAGTGAGACATATAAAGCAACTAATCATCATGAACACCCTTTTGATCTATTTTTTCAGATTCTGGAGATTATATTTTCACAGATGAATTACAACCAACCATATTCTAAAAGCTTTACAGCAGAGAACTGGGATTTCAAAGCAGAAGTTCCTCTACTTCCACTCTTATATTTGTTGTTTTTTCAGTCGTGATAAAAGTTAGTTTTCTTCTTTGTAGCTGGTACAGTGCTGCATTTTGGATTTAGTATGAGAATAATATTGACAACACGCTGATGTTTTAGTTGTTGCCAAGTATGCTTACCCTGAGTCAAGAACTTTCCAGTTTCCCATGCTCTGCCAGCCAGCAGGTGCACAAGAAGTTGGGAGGGAGCACAGCCAAGACAACTGATCCGAACTGGCCAAAGGGACATTCCGTACCACAGAACATCATGCTCAGTATATAAACGGGGAGGAACTGGCCAGGAAAGCCCCATGGTTGCTGGGGGATGGGCTGGGCACTGGTCAGCGGGTGCTGAAAATTGTACTGTGCATCTCTTGTTTCTCTTTGGTTTTATTCCTCTCTTTTTTAATTACTATTATTATTAATAGTAGTGGTAGTATTGTAAGTATTATGAGTATTTTATATTGTTTCAATTAACAAACTGTTCTTATTTCAATCCACAGGTTTTTTTTCTTTTGAATCTCCTTTCTACTGAGAGAGGGTGGGGGGAATGAGAGATTGGCTGTGTGGTACTTAGTTGCTAGCTGGGGTTAAACTACAATACTCAACCACTATATTTGGGAACAATGTCTTTAAAAGAAATTTCTTTTCATTTGCCCAGCTACAGGTAACAGCATTTCCAATTAGCCTGATTTACTTACCAACTCCTCTATCTTATCAAAGAAATATATGTTCCAGCCATCAACTAAAATTTCAGGCTTTTTTGGTTCTTTGTAGATCTGAAAGTATAATATTAAAACTCATTAGAAGAGCCACTCATATTCAGCACTGACATTCTTCTGGTCAATACTGTGTACAGATATGCGTTTCTTTCCAATATACCGTACCTCTTGAAGAACAGGGATGACAGGTGGATTTCTCTGTTGAAGAAAATAAAGCACCATAAGAGTGTATGCATAAGATGACAGGCTACCTCGAGATGCATCTCCAATGTCACACATCTAGAAAAAGAAACATGATTTGTATCTTTCATGGTTATCACTCCTTGCTGCAGGTACTACTGCTTTCAAATGTCTGAAATACACTTACTTTTGTGAAGACTTTCATTGTGTAACACAGATATTTTACTCTAGGATCAATAGCTGCATAAGATGACAGAAGTCTTGTGTTATGCAAGGCCTACAAAAATAAGAAAGTCATATAGAAAACACCAGAGTTCGGAAGACATTAAGGAAATAAGCTGAAAACACAAAAAACAAAAACTCTAAGTTGTGTCCTCAAGAAATGCAGATGTGAAGCCCTGCACAGTAGGAACATAGATTAAGAAAGGAAGCATTCCACCATGAGGTTATCACCTGCTCTGTTAAAAAGCCAATCAACTTCCTTAATCTCTCTGGATGTGGTACCAAGCAGCACTCATAGAACAGTATTTCAAAACAAGAAGTATTGATCTACTACTGCAGTTTAATATTTGGTAGAAGGTAACTTCTTGAACCAAGAGTCAGTCCAGAAACATGAGAGCTACCAACGGACCCATATGGATGCATAACTTCAAGAAAACTTTCAGACTTACTTAGTGGTTGAGGTGTATTCCTAAGACTGCTCTTGAACTCATACAAAATCTTCAGAAAGTTTAAGAATTGGCTTTGAGATTTAACTTTCCTTTGTTTCAAGGAACTGGCTTTCAAAATGTAGAGATATTGAAATAAACAAAACCTGGTTTTAAAATATTTGGCCAAAAATATGTTATAGTTCAGGCAAGCTGGGTTCAAAATCACTACTTCAGGTCTCAAGGCTAGGCAAGAGCCATGATGGGAGGTGGAGTGTAAAAAGGCTGAGGTTACATTATTTTCTCTCATTTACAGAAAGACTTAGACACTTAAACCACTATTTCTTACTCTTAGTGAAGAACTAACAGATTTTCTTAGAAAAGTGACAACTCCAAAGTCACAATCGTGCAGCTGACTCCACTAATAGTCAAGTAAAAAAAAAAAAAGGTTTTTTTAAAATATAAAACTGCAATAGCTAATTGGAAACAGTCACTCACTGCAATCTCAAGGAGGGGAGAGGGGGCGTCGTGAGGGGATCAGGGGGCACTGAGAGTATGAAGTGTTACTGGTGAAGATATGGAATGACACTGAGCTCCTGGTCAGTGATGACACAGGGAATGTGCAGCTCCCTGTGGGTTTGGGACAGGAATGTGGCACTGCGTTGTACCAGGTGGATACACTGCAGCAAATCACATCTTCAGAAAAGGTCTCTGTTAACTCATAGCTCCAAGGATGCAGCTCAAGGGATGGCAGCATTGTGGTTGTTGTTGACAGATCAGTGGCACTGCCAGACAGCACCAGGCTGCCTCTTCTGCTCCACATTCAGTTTGATACTAATCTGGATGTAGTTGGTATGTGTCAATAAAAACAATTCCTAGTGGTTGGTGAGAAAAGCGGCAACTTCCATCTTATTCACATTCCATCCAAACAAACCTTGCTAACTAAGATTTTGGTTGAATATTCTTCAAGTGAAAAGGCTTACTTAAACCTCTCTATTATAAAAGATATTGCAGATGCAAATGTTTATCACATGTTTGTTCTCACAAGCAATGGATGTTTCTGCATTATATGTCTCCCACTTGCTAAAACACAGGAAGCAAGGAGAAGATGGACATGACTATAGCAAAAAAATTACAAGGACAGATAAAGTCAACCTTCATTTCCACAGAGGAGCATTACAGCCTGGGCTGTCAGGATTTTGTGATCAGCAACACAGTGAACAAGATCCATTTGATAACTGGGGGTTAAGGAGATCATGTGCTCTCCAAATGGGAGGTGGACACTACCAATGCCCTGGCGTCTCTTCAAAGTTTTGGTGATTCAAGTTTGGTCAAAAGTGCTGCAAAATTTCAAGTCCTTGACAATATGCTGTTTGTTTTAGATACAGAGAACATCTTAAGCATGTGGGATGTTTATTCTCTTACTCTAATTTGGGATTGGCCTTGAATACATATTGAAGAATTTCTTCTAACTACAGAATCAGATTCTTCTCAAGTCATGTGGGAAGGGCTTGCCAACCTTAAACTGATTGTCATGACAATACCAGATAACAAAACAGATCTGCGGTTTTTTGCTATAAGACATAAAATAAGAAAAGGAGATAACCTTACCAGAGTATTATATAAACTGATGTCTACTTCAAGACCACTTCTGACGTGGAAAAATTTGACAATGGGGACTTTTGCAGTTGTTATAGGCAAGACATTTCTTAAACCTAGGACAAAATGTTTTATTACTGAATGACTACAGTACGGTCCTAATAGTATCAAATAACTTCTAACTGTAGCAAAAAGGCTACAGAATAAAATCTTAGTTGATACTAAACTTATGTTGGTCAGTTATGTTTTAATAGTGATTTTAGATATGTGTCAAACATGATCAATCTGCTAAATATAATTTATACATTTAGCCCCCTCAAAAAACTGAGATCAGTCTAAATAAGAGAGAATATAATTTCTTTATAGAGAAATAAGCTTAAGAGAGAATTGACAGTTCACTCTATACAAAATTAACTTCAGATCCACCAAAACAAGCACTAAGAAAGTCATGATTTCTTGCAGAAAAAAGAGAATTCTTATTGCAAACTTGTATCAGAATATCTTTGACTATCAACTTACTACTCACTGAACATACAAATACAACATAACTACTAACTTGAAGCCTCAAATCTTAAATTGTTTGTTCTTATACATGTAGGTTATAAATATCTGTCCAATTCAGATGTGGGCCTATTATAACCTCATAGACCCACATATGCAAAAAAATAAAAAAATCCAAATGTTCACAATATTTAATCTCACTCTTACTACTATTCCCTTCGATCTAATTATATCTTAAGGATTTTCATCTACAGTGCCCCAGAACATTCTCATTACATCAACTGACGTCACATAAACAGAATCACTTATTTTAATTTTCCAGAAAGTTACCTGACTGTTTCTTGAGAACTTTTGCTAAATCTTCAATGATTCTGATGCAATCAAGTCCCTAAGACATTAAGAAAAAAAGCTGAAAGATTTATCTGCTCTATTTTAGCAAACCTTTTATTATGTGCCACTAAGCTTAAAGCTGTATAATTGAACGTTTCGTGTTATACAAAATGTGTATATGTCTGAATACCAGAAATTGTTTCAAAATAGCATGTATCAACAGTAGACAATATATTAATGTAAGCTTTTAAAGAACCTGATATTAGGCATGAAGGGAGAGTGATGTGCCCTTCCACTGTTTACCATTCCTAGTTGTTTATGCTACAAAGCATGTTATTTATCCGCACAGATAAAACTAGAAGAGCAGAATTCAGAAGAAAACTGGCTACTGAAAGTTATTCTTAAACTAATGCTTAGATCAACAGCAAAAACCTTAAAAATAATCTGCCTTTGTGGCACCTTCTTCTAATATGAAAAGCTTCTATAAAATAATAAATTTGTTACACTAGATATACAATATAACAGTAAAATTTTGCATTTTTTAACAACAAACTCAAAATACTTCCAAACTACCTCAGCTGTTTGGAGTCCATCTATGGTCATACAGATATCAAGGTCACTTTGTTTGAAGCCAAAGCCATTTTTTGAGGAGCCAAACAAATCCAGCTTGGTTCCTATAAGAAATGTGATGTATAAATCAAGTTAAAATAATTATTACAAAACTACTCTCTGCTGCTTTGATTGTTTTTTTCCTTACCTTGCCATTGTTCCTTCCTACTGTGTTCTAGATATGAATACATAAAACCCCCCAAATTTAAATGAAACCCTTAAAAGACTTAGAACAGAAATTAATGTACTGAAACATGGCAATGCTGGTATAAATGCAACATTTATATGTTAAATGTTCAAAACAAAAGTGTTTATTATGCTGAAATTATATGTTTTCTTGGAAAACACTCAAGTATGAACAGTCAAAAGTATAAATATGAAGTCAGAATGGGCCTTTTTACCTGGAAAATCCTGTCTAATGAAGATTTCCAAGTTTTGTCTTATATGTTCCCGAGCTTGATCCTCTACTATATTTGGAGCAAAATCATCTTAAAAACAAAAGACAACAATTTAGGCATCTGTAGAAAGAGCGAACAGCAAAGATTCAAATGAAAATAGTGAGGGGTTTACAGTAGGGCAGGGGAGGGGAAAGAGAAGAAGCAAGAGAAGATTCACATATGAAGGAAAGAAAGCAAGGATGTAGGAGAAAAATACCTGTTCAAAGAAAAACATTAATTAGACAAATAATGCATTTTGTCTGGTCAGAAATGGCGAGAGAGAAAGGAGGAAAGTTGGGTCACTCTGAAAAGAACAAAAGTGGAGAAGTATTACAAAACTGTATTTTGACTGTTTTTTCCTAGAACACTTAAGTCTTTGTTTACTAAAAACCACAAGGTAAGTAACTAACAAAATTCAAAGCAGACAAATGTAAAAGCATCAGTCAAAAACCCCACCCAAAATCAGATTCTCAGAAATTAAATTTATTTGCCTATATGAGTGGTCAGCCAGCCACTCCGTGGAAGACAAGTCTAAACACTTTCTGTTTCTCTAGATACAAACTACTCAGTAGTCCTAATAAGCTGTTACAAATCTTAGAATTGTACCTAAGAGTTGGAGGCTATGTAGCAAATAAACGGTCACCCTTTGTAATGCCATTAGCCTGTGATTATTTCATTTTTTTTTCTGATTCTTTTTTTATGACACAACAATATTCAAAGGAAAAAACTTACGGTAACATTGGACACAAACTTGATCTAGAATAACTGAAAATTTGGGTGTCAGTGCTGGCAATGGGTCAAGCTCAATTTTCTTGAAGTCTTCTGGACAATCACTCTTTAAATGACCTTCCCGTTTGCACAAGCTACATACTACTGTAGGAGACTGCATGAACAGAAAGCAAAGACTGGTTTTAAAAACTATAGTACTTTAATGAATTTGAGCAACACTTTATATAACTTCTAATAGAACATAAGCAATATGTTTATGTTCTGATACAGCTTGCTTACCTTGCCCTTTGTAAAAGCTTGTTTACTGAATTCATAAAAAAGTTCAGATTCTAAGCACTGCTCTGTTGTTGTGTTGTCTTCAAGATGGCTTTTCTTCTCATTAAGATCTTCTTGACTCAAATTAACCCGCAGAGGTCCATCTACATTTTCTTTGAAATGTTTATTCTCATATTTACTTAGGACGGAAAAACCACCTTCTACCTCTGACAGTGCATCATCCTCTCCAGATCCAGTGTACGTGTTATCTAGTTCATCTCCAGCTCTTATGGTAACACTGCATTCTCTCTGAAGGCTTGGTGCTTCCTCTTCTTCCTCTTCATCATCTGAGTTAATAATTTGGGATATTTGACTCCATGCTGAACATACGAATTTTTTGGGGGATTCATCCAGTTCATCAGTACCTTCACTGCTATCCTCATCAATGTCAATCTTGTCATCCATTATACCACTGCACTCTAAGCCAAACCCATCATTCTCTCTAAGTGCAGCATATTGAAAACCTTCTAAGTCTGAAGTACTACATGTCTCCACATCATGCTCGTTCACTGTAACTAGGAGATCTCCACTGTCACTGTCTTCATCTATTCTCTGCTCAGCAGCCAGAATATTATTCCATTGTCTTTTTGATTGTTCATGTTCCTCTTCTTCCTCCTCTTCTTCATCTTCATTTCCACTCTCTGTCTCTTCACAACTTGGTTTAAAATCCTCATTATCTTGAGAAATAATTTCCTCGATTATACAGTCTGAGTCTTCATGGGTAATTCCCAAATGACTTATATCATCAGCCAATTCTTCTTCTGTGAAACTTTCTGAGCCATCATACAGTTTTGAAGGACCAATTTTATGTTCCTTGGGAGTGCGTGCAGTCTCTTTTACACAGTCTTCCACTACTGCTGTGTTTGTTCTACCATCCAAGTTTCGCAAGTCAGAATCTTCATGCTTTATAGCACCTATCCCATGGTTTGGCATTTGGGATTTCTCCTCACCGGCATTTGAAGAGGGTCTTTTGCTCAATTTTGCACTTCTTTTATGAGGCAAGGCAAAATACTTGTAAGTTGCTCTCAGGCAGTGAAGAATATACTCATACATTAGCTGGCTGTTCAGAGTTCTCGCCACGTTCCTTTTGACTGAATATGGGTCTAGTAAAAAGAAGAAGTGAGCCAGCAGTGAAGGAGTTCACTTTTTTAAAAAAAGAATACACTTAAAGCTTTACAGAATTTGAATATACTACTGTTAAGTTACTCTTAAACACTGTGTCAGGACATATGATCTACGAATTGTGCTGAAGACAATTTTTAAGTTCACTTAATTACTTCTGATAATGTTGAAAATAATACTCAAGAGAAATACTACTTAAATTGATTCTTTTCAAGACATATTCTAGCATATTGGAAAGCACAGGTCAATACTGAGAATTTCCAAGTTATAACACGCAATGTCAATAGCCAAGTCAGTACTCTACAAAATTAAAACAACAGTTCTTTGAAGTTTGTTGAGATACCTTCCACAGCAATGCGCTTTTTAGGCCAATCCTTTGATTCACGAGACACTGTTTCTTTGAGTCGTATGCTAATCACCAAGTCAGCCATATTGAACTCCAAGGCATAGAAACGAAGCAGTTCAAGCCAGAGCTGACCAACAGGTGCTGAACACTGCTGACCTAAATGAAATACTAAGGGAACCTGTCAATTACAGAAGAAAATCTTAAATAATATTTAGTGCACAGGTGTTCAACTGTTACATTGCCTTGTATTTCATCTGCAATATAGTATGACAGAATTTATCACTGCTACTATACTCCTGCAATTGCAATATAACTGCAATTAAAAAATTGGAAGCCATAGTATAAAATCAGATTATGAAACTTCAAAATTAAAGACTGCAGCAATGGTAAAGAATAGCATCAATGATAACAATTGCTTCTTTAAGTTTTTATGCCATAATTTATAAATTTCCAGGAAAGTAGTATATCTCATCTAACAGGACAGAATGGATTATAAAGCTCACTTTTTAGCAAAGCCTAGGCTGTACTGTTAACTCTCATAACATGCAATCATATAGTGATACCGTTTCTTACAAAGCTGTTATAGTAGAAATAAGGAAGAGTTCAAAGCAAAGAGGAAATATTTTCCATATGCTTAACCTACTTCTGAGATAAAACTGCTCCAACTGTATAAACTATTCTCCCATGACAGATTAAAACCCAGGGTCTTATCAAAGAGTTTGAAATAACATCTATTTGCCTGCCAGCTTCTTAGCACCAATAGGTAAGGATATCCTATAGGTATATCTTAGTTCAGCACATGGTTTTGAAACATAAATACAAAACTAAAATAGAAGATGGTTCTTTTTTGTGAACAAAAACAATTGCTAGACTACTACAGAAATAAATTTAAAAGTTCCAACCTTGCCCCTTCTAGGAGAAGTTTCTTGTGGCAAATCAGAATCATCAGTAGGGTTATGCTCCCAAACCACAGCATCACTCTTGACTTCTTTCAGATGAAAATTAGTTAATTTGTTTAATGAGAATCCTGCAATCTAAAGAAACAGAAAAAGAAACATATAGCTAAGCATCATATGAACTTTAAATCTTACCACCACTCCCTATGACAGTAAGCCAAATGAGAACAGATCAAAGTTTAAAAATAGCTGTTACAGGTCTCGAATATGGCCCAATATTTTTCTCTCTTCTCCACATACTTCTCTACAAAAAGCTCTCTAGAGCTTGATGCTTTTGGAAGGCTATGCACTCCGGAAATGTGGACAAATGTGAGGTGGATTGAGAACTGGCTGAATGGCAGATCCCAAGAGGTTCATAATCAGTGTCACAGGGTCTAGTTGGAGGCCTGTCACTGGTGGTGTCCCCAGGGTTCAATACTGGGTCCACTGTTATTTAACTTTTTCATCAGTGACTTGGATGAAAGGATAGATGCCTCCTCAGCAAGGTCACTGATGACATAAAGTTGGGAGGAGTGACCGATACCCCACAGTGCTGTGCAGCCCTTCAGCAGGACCTCAACAGGTTGGAGAGATGAGCAGGGAGGAACTGTCTGAAATTCAGCAAAGGCAAGTGCAGGGTCCCGACTTGGGGAGGAATAATAATCTCAGGCACCAGCACAGGCTGGGGACTGACCTGCTGGAAAGTAGCTCTTCGGGGAAGGACCTGCCGGACAATAAGCTGTCCATGAGCCCACAGTGTGTCCGTGTGGCCAAGAAGGCCAATGGTACTGTGGGGTGCATTAGGAAGAGCATTGCCAGCAGGTTGAGGTGGTGATCCTGCCGCTCTACTCATCCCTAGTGAGGCCATGTCTGGAGTGCTGTACCCAGTTCAGCGTTCCTTAGGACAAGAGAGACACGGACCTCCTGGAGTAGGTCCAGCAGAGGGCTACAAAGTTGATTAAAGGACTGGATCACCCCAAGAAGAAAGGCTGAGAGAGTTGGGCCTTTTCAGCCTCAAGAAGAGACAGCTGAGAAGGGAATCTCATCAATGTATATAAGTATCTGCAGGGAGGGTGCAAGAGGACGCAGCTAGGCTCTTCTCAGTGGTGCCAATCAACAGGACAAGATGGGGCAGAAACAAATGAACAGGAAGTTCTACCTGAACCTAAACATGAAGAACTTCTTTACTGTGTAGGTGACTGTGCAGTGGAACAGGTTGCCCAGAGAGGTTGTGTATTCTCTCTGGGGATATTCAAGAATTGTCTGGATGCAATCCTGTGCCATATGCTCTAGGATGACACTGCCTGAGCAGGGAGGTTGTAGGAGGTGTGTCCAGGGGTGCAGAAGCAGGGAAGCCCAGAGGACGTGCGTGGAAATATGTACCCTCATTGGTCACAAGGTCACATGGTTTTACGGGATAAAAACAGTGCTGGGTTTGAATTAAACTCTCTTTGATTACCATCTCATTGGGGAGCTGACTCCATTTCTTTATTATATAAAGACCCCACGCGACACGTGGCGCCTGAACTTGGGGCTCAGAACCTACGTTAGGCCAGAATAGAAATCCCTGAATCAGGGGAATATCGGTAAATTCCAGTTATCGTATTCATTTTTAGGATATGGGAATTTTTTCACAAAAAAAAAATCAGACGTCTTTAAGCCGTTGTCTCAGCCGATACTGAGAAACTCAGTTAGTACAGAAAGCTCAAAAAAAGATTAGGGAAAGTGCACAGGAACAGAGAAGAAGAAAAATGAAAAAGAAGAAGCCGAGAAACCGGGACAGCACCTGCGGAGAGAGTGGAGCGGGGTCGACTAACCACCTGAGCGGTGAGTGAGCTGAAAAACAGCGCCAGCAACCAACACCGTGGCCAGGGCTGCTCCCTGAGCAGCTGTGAGCCCACAGCTCGGAAACCCGAGTGGCGGAGCACGCCGACCCCCGCCGGGACCCCTGCCACCCGCCGCTTGCCGTGCACTAAGCACTGAGCGCGAAAGCAGTGCCGCTGCTGCTTGAACACCCCCCGCTCACCTGCGAGACCCCGCGAACCCCGCACCGGCACACTGTTCCGCCAAGCGGAGAAGCGCCGCCACTCCGTGCAGCCTGCTGCCTGCCCGCACTCGCCCACCGCCCCTGCGAGCCCCGCGCCCACACCAGAAGCAGCACGGGACCTGCACCAGCCGCACCGCGAGCCCACCGCAGCGCCCCCGCCCCGCCCAGCAGACTGTGGGAGCTGGCAGCCGCCTTCTGCCGGCCCGTGCGTGCCTACAGCCGCCGCGTACAGCCTCCACGCCGCTGAACCAGCCGCCAGGAGCGCCGCAGACTGTAAGGGAACCTCACGCGCTGCCGCGACCAACGCACCATGCTGGGAGGTCCCCCCGCCATCTGCCACCGCCCCCAAGCCGCCGGAGCAGCAGCCGAAACCCGGACAGCACCGGACACCGATGGAGACGCCGAAAAGAAAAAAAGCACTGAAGGAACAGCCGACCCAGAAACTGAAAGTAAAACTCAGCAGCTGCAAAACAAAGGACCCCTCCACACACGTGCATCGACAGCGGCAAGAATAAGGTAAAAAACATGGGAAGTTTTTTCTCCACCAAGATTTCACAAAACACAGACGCATTATCTGTCCTGCTAAGACCTTACCATATACAAGCCACAAGGGCTGAATTAACAGAGCTTTTACGTTTCATTAAAGCAGCAGTCCCAGAGCTGCCATTGCTAGAAGCTCTGCACATAGAAATATGGGACAAGATAGGAAACCTCATGAAACTGAAAGCTCAGGGGGGAGACCCCCAAGCTAACAATGCCATTTCAGCCTGGCAAGTCATAATGTCTGCACCACACAGAGGCCATAAGCGGACAGTAAAAGCATCCAACACCGACACACCACCCCCCACCCACACTGCTAGTCGCAGCCCGAAACCTACGAGGGTTTACCGGGAGGGGAGGGAATTGCTCAAGAGTTAAGTTATGGATTGGGTGCCAATAGCCACGGGAACACGGGTCGCTGGGAAGGAATGAAGCCTGTAACGTGGGATACCAGCCCCGCATGCGCGGGATCAGCGCAGGGGGCTCTGTTGCAGTGATGAGGGGGGGAACCCAGCCTATTTGCCACCCCACGCTGCAGATGATCAGCGACCACGTGCGCCAGCACAGGCGCAACCATATTCCACGCCAAACGGATAGGAAGTCGATCTGTCTCCTCCAGCCCCAGCGCTGCCCTGCTCCAGTCATAGGCAAGAGGTGGGGAGGGCTCTCCTCCACGCTGCGCCATCACATGTGCAACCAACACCCAAGCAGGCATAACCACAAAAGTGTTACAAGGTTCTACTGAATCATATTCACAATCCCCAGATCAGCTGCAATCTGCTTTAAACAGGCAAGTTGAGTACAGTGAAGCCAGAGAGATGCTTTGTAGGCAACTGGCTTTTGAGAAGGCAAACCCAGACTGTAAAAGAGCTTTGCAGGTCCTTCCTAAAAGGGAGAGCTGTAGCATTGCTGAGCTGGTTTGACCCTGCCAAGGAGTTGGATCTGTGGAGCACCAGTCTGCCTCTTTAGCCATAGCCCTAAGCGCCCAGCTAAGAGTGCAGGAAGGGGCCAGACCCAGAGCGAGTTGCTTTAGATGTGGTGTCCCTGACCACTTTCAAAGGGGTTGCCCTTGGAGACCCTTAGCAGCAACATCCCACAAGTACCTAAGCAACGGGGAATGGGCCGAGTTGTACCAAGGGTGCCATGGGCAGGGCCGGGGCCACGCCATGGGCACTGCACTGCTTGCCGCCGTGCTGCTCTCCATTCTCCTCTTTGCCACCCGCTTTCGCGAGCAAGAGAGGTAGCAGCTTGAGGCAAGTCATAATGTGCCAACAACCAGTTCCTGGAATACCCCTGTATTTTGCATCTCCAAGAAAAGTGGCCGGTGGAGAATGCTGCAAGATTTAATAGCAGTAAATGCAGTCATAGAACCTATGGGAGCATTGCAGCCTGGACTTCCCTCACCTGCTATGCTTCCAGCAAAGTGGACGCTAATGGTTATTGACTTAAAGGACTGCTTTTTTACCATCTTCCTACACCCTGAGGATGCACCAAGGTTTGCTTTTTCCATCCCCACCTTGAACAATGCACAGCCCATGTAGAGGTATCGCTGGGTTGTCCTTCCTCAGGGGATGCAAAGCAGCCCAACGAGATATCAAACAGCCATCATACACCATTATATAGATGACATATTAATAACCATGGCCACAGAAAATGAACTGCAATTTGTTGTTACTGCTCTACTCAAAGCTGTCCAAGATGCCGGGTTACAGGCTGCTCCAGAAAAAATGCAGCAATCGCAACCCTGGACGTACCTTGGATGGAAAATCATGCAGCAGGAAATTTCTCCACAGCCACTGCAGCTCAAGGTAAAAGACAATTAACTTTACACAAGCTGCAAAAACTTCTGGGAGCCATCAATTGACTAAGGCCTATTTTGGGGCCTAACCACAGAGGAGCTACACCCTCTATTTGAGCTCCTTAAGGGGGACTCAGACCTAAAGTCTAGCCGGTCTCAGACAGCAGAGGCAAAGCAGGCATTAGATACTTGTGCCAAGGCAATAGAAGGCAGGCAAGGCAGAAGGAGAAATCCTGAACTACAAATCTGCCTTGCCCTTGTTCCCAGCAGGTTCCAGCCATTCACAGTTTTGTTTCAGTGGGATCAGACTGAAAAAGACCCACTGCAATTCTAGAGTGGCTGTTTCTGCCCCACACACCACCTAAAACTGTGTGGACTACTAATGAAATGTTTGCCAAGCTTGTCATTAAAGGCAGAGAACGACTACAGGAGCTGGATGGGAGAGATCCTGCAACCATCCACATCCCAGCTACAAAGGACAACCTTGATTGGATGCTAGCTGAGGATGCAGGATTCCAGGCTGCCTTGGCAGGCTTTGACAGTGACATTTCAATTCATCTCCCTAAACACAGACTGTGGGCAGAAATCGGTAATTTACCTTTAAAAGCCACAACCAGATGCAAACATGAGCCAGCGAAAGGCCTTACGGTCTTCACAGACGCATCTGGGCGGACCCGAAAAGCTGCAGTGGCATGGGAACTGATGCAGGACAATGGGAACGAGAGGTACAGACCATGAACCAGGGTTCTGTACAGGTTCTGGAAGTGGCTGCCATATGTATTGCCTTGGGAAAGTTTTCTGAACAACCTGTTAATATTGTCACAGATTCCTGTTATGCTGCAGGGTTAGTGTCCTGTCTTGAGAGTTCGTTTCTTTGAGATGTTGCTAACCCTCACCTGTTGTTTGAAATGCGTTCTGTATGGTTTCTTGTCAATCACAGAAAGTTTGATTTTTACATAATGCACACAAGGTCACATACAGAAATGCCAGGACCAATAGCTGATGGGAACCGAGAGGCTGACAAATCAGCTATGTTTACCACTGTACCTAGAGTCTTAGAGCAAGCAAAATCGCCTTATTCATTTTTCCACCAAAATGCACGTTCACTGAAGAGACAATTTCAAATAACACTCAATCAGGCTCGAGACATAATCATGTCATGCCCAGACTGCCAGCAAATCACACCCATGCCATCTCAGGAAGGCGTTAACCCCAGAGGGTTAATGGCAAATGAGATTTGGCAAACAGATATCACACACATAGCTGAATTTGGTACGTTAAAATACATACATGTAACAGTTGACACCCATTCACAATACGTAACTGCCACAGCACACACTGGGGAAAAGGCCAAGGATGTAATAAGACACTGGCTCAGTTGTTTTGCAACCCTCGGTACCCCAAAACAGATTAAGACTGAAAATGGGCCAGCTTTCATCTCAGAAAAGGTAAGAAACTTCCTATCGGATTGGGGAATCTCTCACACCACAGGTATTCCACACTCACCCATTGGACAGGCAATTGTAGAAAAGGCACATCACACTGAAAGACATGTTAACGAAACAAAAAAGAGGGGAATCAGTCTGCAAGAGCGTCTGTGGAAAGCCACATATGTCATAAATTTTTTAAACTGTGACAATGCTGAAAAAAGCAAGCACGGAAGGCAGCACAGGCCTCAAGCTTTCGCCTCTCCCAAACCACCAGTCATGGTAAGAGATCTGATTTCAGGGCAGTGGACGGGACCAATGGACCTCGTGACTTGGGGGCGAGGTTATGCCTGTGTGGCTACAGGAAAGGAGCTGAAATGGATTCCTTCCAGGTGTGTTAGACCCTACCTAGGTACACAACTACAACAGCAAGAACCAGAGTAACGTAGAAGTTATAAAAAGGTTATGTTTATGTTTCAAGTTTACATATAAGGATGACCAGTGTGGCAAAATGCAGAGTCTATACAAAATCCATGAGTGTGTGTATGATGAATGGAATGACGGCCGTCAGTGAATGTGTGAGTGAATGAATAAGAGAGTTGTTTGACTGTACAAGTGCCTTAAACACCAAATACCTCACAAAAATAACACTACCTCCACCACATGGTCACTTTAAGAGAATCTGGTTTGCTAAGCTTACCCTGTTTTTGAAATAAAGTTGAACTCCCCAGTTATTTAAACCCTCAGATTAATAAAAGTTATAAGTCTATGCATGGTTGGGCTAAGGCCCCTAGGTTAATAAAGTTGTTTTTCCAAGTTGCACTACCCCTTAGAAATATAAGAAGGCTTTAAAAGGTTTACAATAGACGTATAAGAAGCCAAAGCAAGCGATGTATTGGGTCATTGCAAAGCTATGGTAGTTTATAATGTGCTGTTCTGTTGTTTGCACTGTTGTTTTTGCACTGTTTTCTTGACCGTCTTAAATAATTGAGAAAGGGGTGATGTAGGAGGCGTGTCCAAGGGTGCAGAGGAAGCACCCAGGGCAGGGAAGCCCAGGGGACATTCGTGGAAATATGTACCCTCATTGGTCACAAGGTCACATGGTTTTAAGGGATAAAAACAGCGCTGGGTTTGAATTAAACTCTCTTTGATTACCATCTCATTGGGGAGCTGATTTCATTTCTTTATCATATAAAGACCCCACATGACAGGAGGTTGGACCAGATGACCCACTGTGCTCTTCCAACCTGACCCATTCTGTGATTCTGCATCATGCAACCTTGTCTTTGCACATTAGACAACCATAAACATGTATCTTTTACTTACATCACCATATACAACAGGACATTTTTACTCATCCAGTTCTCTCATCTAGAGAGTTGAGATGCTTTGGAATGAGTCACTAATGTACTGAAGTAAATTCTTAACTACAAGGCCCATGTAATTGGTTAGACACTGGAACATGCACACTTAATATAATGAGATTAAAGGAACAAAAATGGGTGCCATGAATATAACACCTAAACGGTGTCCTGGAGAATTGGATTCTGGATTTGCATCCATAATACAACTCTTGATATTAAGAAGCATTTCAGTTTCTAAAACCAAGAAATACATGTTCTAAACTTCTAATCTGATCCCTTGGGCAGGTATCACACCAGAGTGCTCCCCAAATATGGTCTGTTTTGAAGAATTAGATGTCAAACTCCAAAATACTGTTTTGGGATGTAGCTATGTGGATTGAGTTCACAAGACTCTGGAAGAAAGGCCAAAAAAAAAAAAAAAATTGTTGCAAAATGCATTATTCAATGTCCAGCTCTCCTTATTCACAAAAGGGGCAATAGAGCACTTAATTCGATGGCTAAGATTGTGAAATGCAATCTTACAGCCAGGCATACAAAGGTTAGGTGTAGTCTGGATGAATTCACGTTCTTAATTCCTGCAGAAATGGCTTGCTTATGGCTTGCTCAGAATAGCATGAAGCTGACAGATTACAAAGCACCATGAGCGACTGGTCCTCTCATTCACACTATTCACTGTATAAATACACATACCCATGATCCCAAATAGACAGGTAGTAAAGGCTCTTTCCTCTGTTGTAGGAAGAAAATAACCATTAAAGCAAACACGTAAGGTGACAAGCCTCCTTCTTCAGGACGATCAACACAGCACAACTGCAAAAACGAATTGTGCAGTCATTAGATTTTGAAGTGATACCATGAAAAATATTCTTTTAATTATGGTTCAGAAGCCTTACACATTAAATACTGACAGAAATTCAGATATCTTTGAGCTTTTAATGGATGGAATTTGTTCTCAAGGCCTGTATATTTACTGCAGGTATGTTACTACTGTAACATTTTCAGTATAAGAGCCATAGAATGCAGACTGTGCTATATGCTGTCTGGTTTACCATTTTCAGAAAATGATGACTCCTTTTATGTAGCTACAGTACAAGACAAAAGTTTTTCCATTTTTAAAATTAAATAATATTTTAATGGTGGGCACACAAAGTTTTAGAACACATTGTTTATTCACAAGATGGTTTTCATCTACAATGGAGAAAAGTAGTTTTTTCCTTTATTTTTTTTCATGATGGATTAAGTTTATGGGGAACTTGCAATTCCATTTCATATACATTCCTCTGATTAGTTTAGCAAAAAAGCATGATTCTTACAGTCTGCATGTTACTGAATGAAGCTTAAAATTCCCCTTTTGAAATTTAGCAGAATATTATTGCAGACAAATGATAGTTACATAATTTACAATTTATAAAAATCTATACCCTTATTCCAACTCTTTTTCTAACGACTGTTTCAACAATTGTTTTCTCAACTATAACAACAATCTTACCAGCATAACATAGAAACTCATTCAATATTTATTCACAGATGGGGGAACACAAATGACTCTTACCTTTGCCCAGTACCTGAAGGCAGTCACTAAAGGTACGACAGCAGGTTCCAGGTTTCCAAGTGTAGCCAAATGGTTTGTTGTCAGACAAGCATTCTCATTCCCTGCACTCACTTTACAAATAAGGCCACTAAAACCCAAAAAGAAACAAAAGATCTTGGAGGTTTTGTTACAACACCCATAGGCCAGATAATATCTCACAGAACAGTGTAGCAGAAGGCTGTAAGGAAAGACTTGAAAATCTCTCAAAGACTGTGTCTCTGCATGAAAAGCAGCATGCAATACTAATTTGATTTATGGTTAGGTTGAAGATATATGCATTATAATTTCCTGTAAAAGTGTTTTAAAATACAATTCAAATTTAAGTATTTTTTTCTAACGATATTAATTTACTGAACTGGAAAAGTTACAGTATTAATTTCCTTCATGAAACAAAAATATCTTCCCATACCACAACCACCAGAAAACAGTTTCTGTGCTGTTTACAGAGCACATGAAATATTTTCAAACATGAAAAAATAAAGGTAGCAGCAAATAACAAGTAATATTTTTATCAGTAGCTGTTTATAGATTGTTTCATGAATCTTAACTGATATCCATTAAATGGGCAAAATAAAATAACTTTCACTTGTTCTCAAAATACTAGCAAAGCTAAGCAAACTGATCTTGTCCTTACAGAAATCTATAATTTAATATGGTATGTAAGCTACCTATAAGAAAGGAAAGTTTCTGCTTAAGCAATTATCCCAAATGGAAGGGTAAGGGTACATGCTGGAAGCCATAATGGTTGAAGGGATTGGGAAATACACAGCTGACGACAGAACAACCCTTACCCTCTTATTCTAGGCTAGGAATGACTTGCCCATGAGTGTTAGTTTGTGTTTCAAGATCCATGGAACTGTAATAATTTAGTACAGAAACGTCATTTATCAGATGTTGGTACACATAATTTACATTGCTATATACTATTAGAACACACAAAGTGACAACTGAGACCTTTGCTTTTCTCTGCACACCACCACTGGTACTCTAGCATGGAAATCTGCATCAACTTCTGTAAAAGATTCTAGATAGGAGAAAGAAAAAGAAGCCATGTTAAGCATGGTGTTGACAAAAAAAATATGTTGAACTGGATGGAACTAGAGGAGTACAGCTAGAATTTCAGCTCCTAATACAATGACTAATTTTGAGAAAAACAAAAAAGTATATCTGATGATTTACAAGAATGACTGGATTAACTTTCACATGTGATGGGAAGAGTATGGTCTATACAATAAGCACTGTTAAGAAAATACTGAAGAAAAATGGAACTTTTCAAAATTCATATATACACAGACACAATAGCTGTAATTAAGGAGGTATATTTAGGTTAAGAGCTAGTTTCAATAATTTAGGCATACATACAGACAAATGACACCTGTGGAACAATGCTAGCATGAAAAATAAAAATCCAGAGTGTTAAGTCAGTACCATATAGAAAGAATCAAAGTTTGTTTTCCCTGGTTATCTGACAATGCTCTATATAAGTACAGAACTGGCTTGCCTACATGATGTAATGTCTTTTTGCAATGCTTTTAAAATCTTTTTTCCTCCTATTCTTTATACAGTTTTCCAAATACTGAATTGTAATCTAAACACTAATTTTAATCTAATTAACACTAATTTTAATCTAAACACTAACAAAGTACAAATCCTGCTGCAGTCTTTTCTCTGAGTAGTGTTTATTGCTTCAAACTGGACTCATTTTTTGATGCCTCACTGTTTCACTGGGCCAGGAAGAGAGAAAACTATGAAACAATTCTAGAAACTCAACTCAAAAATTCTGAAATGACAAGGTTTTCTTGATGTTACCTAGCCAACTGGACACCTAATTTCTTTAAAAAGTATCTTGCTTTTGCCACTGGGGTACCTCAAACACCTAATGCTCTATCCCTGTATATTCTCACTCATAGAAAAGGCTTTGCACAACATGTTAATGCAAATATTACTTGCATTTGAAACACATTAGAGATCTTAAATTCTTACAAGATCTCTCTAATGTGGCTGAAAAATTCTCCAATATCATAATGGTCATTTGACCAGACAATAAAACGTACATACAATAACGATGGGGGTGGCACTGAGAAAAATCTAGATCAGTAAATACGTGCATGTTTAATATACATGTTTGGAACCATATGGTCTGACTTCCCAACTGCGGGCACAAAGCAAGGCAAGAAAGCAGTGAAGCTTTTTGCAATTTGCATTTAAAAAGTACAGAACTTTTTTCTGCATATTTTAATTTTTTTTTCCCTGCATATGCTTGAGTTGGTTTGAGTAAGTGCACTCTTTTTAAAAGATTGTAAACTTCATTTTCCTGTATTAATGCATAGAGTTGCATTCATTACCTGAAAAAAACCCCATGTGTGTGTATGCAGTCATTTGCACATGGCTCTCACTGCACTAACAGGCATGTGCACAATTACAGGAAAACAGACCACATCTGAAAGTACGTTACCAAGTTTCTGTCACATGTTAAAGAGCTTAGGCTACTTTCTGTACTATGCATGGCTAATAGAGCAGTCTGGGGAAAGAAAGGCAGCAGAGTCTACCTCATGTGTAATGACATCTTCACTTACAATGTAGAAGAAAGCTTCCTACTAGGAATTTCTCACATCAGCACAACTAGTGGAAGTTCAACCCTCATAACACTGAATAGCAAATCAAAAGCAGTTCTGCCAATGTATTCTGTCCTGCAGTATTTTTCAGTCTCACATCTTTCTAAAAAAGGGATAGCATGTGGCATTATCTGTTCAACAGAGATGTAACTCAACAATACTAAGCAGTAATAATTTAGTGGAATTGAGAAGGCAGCAACTTTTTTTCTTACCACTGCTCTGGAGACTTTCTTGCACAAGTAAGAGAACATCTGGTTGAGTCATCTGTCAATAAAAGGAATAAAGCTGTTTTCATAGCTGTCAAAAAGGTGATTTTCTACAATTCAAATTTAAAACATTGCCTCTAGGTGTATTTGGCTATTATTAAGTTGTATCAAAAGGAACAGGAACTCTTCTTATTTTGAAGAAAAAAAATTCTGAGCAACTGTAAGTAAAGTTATTTTTACCTCTATCAAAGACCCGGTTTTGGGAAAAAAACACTATGAGAACTACTATTTCAATGCTTAAATATGACTGCATTCTCACACAGTGGATCTACATCAGGTCACAGACTGCAATCACAGCTTTTTAAAATCATATGCACTTTAAGAACTTGGATCATTCTTTGTTTCCTAAAGGAAATGCTAAATTCTAACAATGGCACTGTCAAATCAACTACAGCAGGAGTAAGTTTAAGTATGGAGTCAAGTCCTTAATTCCTTTTCAGTGTTCAAGGACAAAGATGTATAGAAACAAATAGCATGACAAATTAAGACTTTAAATTAGTCTACCTATAAAACACGTAATATGGTTTCATGGCTCAAATACAACCTAGTAGTCAAAACATGCATATATGTGAATACGTCAGTACAGTAACAAGATCAGTACAGAAACCAGATCACAGAAGTGCCATTTAATCCATATGTAAGAGAAAATAAATAATGATCTGTCTCACAGGACTGCTAGAGCACAGATGTTTAAATGTTTTCAGTTTTTCAGAAGGAAGTTTCAACAAAACACAAAGTTGTATTATATTGCCTGATCACTACTCTTATATGAAGAAAGGAATGTTATCCCAAGACCAGACCCGCTTTATTTACTCACTAGGTTTTCAAAAAAAATGTTGCTACCACACTGTAAGATATATTTAAACTATAATCTAAATAAGATACAAACATTCAAAACTACTTAGACATACTTAATAAAATAGCCTTACTTACATGGGCAGGAAACTGGGTATCTATGTTTATGTCTGAAGTTTTGAAACCAAATCTGCTATAGGAGGAGCCATACAATCTTAATGAACACTCTGCAACAAAAAGAATTATACTGCATTTACTCTATGCCTAATTCTAAGTCTGTAGCTACTTCACAGCATTGTCAATAGATCTTAAACCTACAACTGGTTTTGATAACCCCAGGAAAAGAAAGTCTTCCAAAAACCCAGAACTGTTAATAAATCCTGCCTTCCATGCTACTGCTAGTAAAGGCTTACCATGAAGGTCAAATGATCCCCATGTCCTTTTCATCTTCACTTTTTACTGCAGGTCTGTTTGGGTCATGAGCACCATTGTAATTTAATTCTGAAACATGGTTGTATTGCTACATCATGTCATTCAACAGACTAGTAACTAAATACACTGTTTCAGAGTTTAGCTAGCCAAGATTTTTAATTCAGTTTTCACTTTACAAGCTGTCTGGGTTTTGTGTTCTTTTAGTTGATTTCTTTTTTGTTTGTTCAAGTTTTTTTGTCATTGTTTTGTCTTCAAGTTGGCATATCTAACACTTAGAATGAATTGCAAATAATACCTGGCAATTTTTGACGCAGTAAGTTTTCCATCACTGTTTTAATGTTGAGCCTTTCTTCTAGATCTTCATTATTTAAGCCAAACTCCTGCACTACATTTTCAATAGCAACACCAATAGCTTGTATCTGGGAAGGCGTCGGAGGAGGCAGAGCGGTCAGCAGCTGTTCTTCTTGCTTTTCCTTTCGAGATAATAAGACTGATGTTTTAATGGTTTCCTTGAGTTGCTTAATGTACTAGAATGAGCACCAACATCTCATCCCAAGTAACACCACCAGAGGTTTTCCAGATAATGTAGGTAATCAGAAGCAATAAAGAATCTGATACTCCAGAAGCCTTCAGTAATGTGCAGAGGTATATATACATGTATTTGGTATGTTAAAAAAAAAATCACTAATTCTTTCCTCACCTATGAGGTGTGAGAAGGTAGGAGTTAAAGAGAAAGAAACAGAAAACCTGCATAGGACGTATTTTTGTCCACTTCAAGTGGAGAAAGTAAAAGGAACAGAAGATATTTCATTAAAAAAAACAGTAAAATTGACACTGTGCTGGAAATTATTTTGATGCTTATGTTCAAAACAAACCCAATTTCCTTCGAATATAAACAAGTTCTTAATCAATGAGTTCTTAATTTTTATAGTATTTCTGAACTGAAATATTCACTCTGACATATACGTTATAATTTCTAATTCTGCCATACCAACTACATTTCCTTATTGCTACTGCTCATTCCAAAGTGCAGGTCCCAAAGTTTAATCTTTTTACCAGTATCACCAAGTAGTAGTTTTTAAAAAGATTGAAACATAGCAAAAAATGAACGAGGAATGATTTTAAAAGCAGTGCAGTTTCATTGTCATTAGCAGGGTAAGGAAGGTATCATAAATATGCATTTTATACTTTTTCTTGTCCTTAACTCACCTTCAGGCTTTTCTTGTGTCTTTTCTCTTTAATATGCTTATGAGCAAAAGCCACTGATTCAATCAAAACATCACACAATTTGCAGGTATATTTTGCAGATGGGTAGCTTCGAGGTTGCTAAAATAAAGATAATAAAAAACCCCTAAAATATACAAAGATATTACCTTCATTCAATACCCTTTCTAAGTTGAATGGCTAACTCTGAAATCCAGAACTACTCTAACTTCCCTAACTCCATATTTACAGTCAAAAAGTTTGCATATCAAATATAATGCCAGAATAATGATGCTACTGTGTCAATCACACTATCTTTTACAGTAGAAAATACCCAATGCCCATGAAAGAATATATTAAGTAAACAAACAACTGCTCCAGCATTTTAATTAACATCCGGTTGTTAATTCATGAACTAAAGGAGCATTCAGTAAATTGTTGTCAAAGACTTATTGTAGTAAAAAATCCAAAAGGATAACCTGACTTCGCTTGACAATTCATTAACAGAAACCATTTTTATTTTACTAAAATGCTGTAACTAAACTTTTTAGCTACAATCAGAGAAATTGCTCAAAGCATACTCTCTATATTGTATTTATAGAATAAAAAAAATAGGAGAGATCTATACAAGTAAAGACAGTGGCACCTTCTTCAGCCTATAAATGCAGTCTCGCTTCAATCGTTCTTCAGCTTGCTGCAGCCCAAGAAGTTCTTTTGCTGACAGCCCAGATTCATCTATGACTGGACCATCCAATTCATCTTGATCACACTCATCTTTTCTAGTTCTTCTTGATCTTCTTGGTTTTCTAAGCTTCTTCATTTCTTATAAAGAGTTATGAGAGCAAATATATCAAATAACTGCAGAGTACCACACAGCATTTTTTAATTTATTTTTCCTTAATTACCATTCTATTTATGTGCAAATCAAAGAAGGCACAATTCATCTACCCTGTATGGTTTCATACATACAGGTTTCTTCTGTGCAAGTCTGATACTAATAACAGTGTATATTAGTTTCAAAATCTACAGTACCTTTGTTATGAACTACAAAAAACCCTACTGATTTGTCCCATTGAAAACAATGACCTTATTCAGATACCTCTGTTAAAACTGGCAAAAAATCAAAACTCAGTGCAATAGATTTTGCTGCCTAGCTGAAATGTACCTGTATGTCATTATAATGATAAGGCAGAATATATCCAAAGATTTCAGGCTTTGGTAGAAGAATAAGTTAGACCCATTGGCCACTACAAGTATCACAGACTGAATAATTTGTAAAGGCTAACAGCACTATGGCTTACATGACATATAACAACTTATTAACAAATGGTTATTACTGGTGATAATGTCATTTGCCTTTCAATTAAATCAGTATATGCATTAATATTGCCTTCACATTATTAAATAGACAACTGAAAACAGTAAGAAGCCCTGTTGGCTACCGAAATCAATAAAGAATAGACTTGCTAAGTATTTGCACACATTGCTTAATAAAGCTGCAAAACATATTAATAATGCTTAGGAAGTTTGCTATGTTTACAGCAAAAGTTCTTGAACAAATTAATGTAAATACCACATCTACTTTTAAGCAGCTTTTGTCATCATTTTGAAGCAGAAATTGCTATTGGTCCAAAGCATACCTGTAAAAATCATCTCAGGAATGAATACACATAGATCAGACTTTCACACTGACTTCAGATCTTACCTTTCACTTGTACAGCTATACAGGATATCCAGATGCATGGAATTTCTACAGTTCCATTCTCCTAAGAAAGTTTATGTAACTTCCTTATACTCCCAAACCTTTATTATAACATGAAGTTTTAATTTGTAATAATTAAAAAAAAACCCCACCAATAAAACTCACAGATGAAACCCAGCTGCTCTACCAAATACATTTAAAAAGTTTCTTTCCTGTGACCACAATTTTTGTTTTGGCAAAAGAGAAACAACATGGTTGTGTTTTTTCAGTTATTTGATTCAGTTCACTAAACAGCATGCATGTGCTAGCAGTGTAAACAGGACCAGGACAAGAATGGTAATATAACTTCTTTCAGCAGCAGCACAAGTTTAAGCAGGAATAAACAGAACTAAGGCTTAATAGGTTGCAGGGGCAGTACTCCAAAGGAACCTCCAAGGAGCAGAACAGAAGTCTGAGCTTCTGAACTTTACACAACCCTTCAATTTTTGCATTGACTCTCCTGCTCAAATTTCTAAGACCTTCCACAGCTGTTTAACTACATTTTTAACTGATTAGTGTAGACAGAAACTGAAAAAAAGGTGTATTAAATTAATGTCTTTACAGGAAAGACTGTGACAACTACCTACTTATCAATTATTTCTGTAAACACTAATTAACTTTAAAAAAAAATTAAAAGTAAATAAATACTTCTCATATTTGGTAGTTACAACAGTGACAACCTAATTATAGGCCAATGATTAAATAAAGTACTAAAGGCAAGTTAAAGATAAAGCTCCAGCAAAAAAATCAGGGCCTCAGAGATGTTGTAAACTCCTTACTTATGAGCTACGGTAAAAAGACATGAAGGTAATGGAAAAGGACAACTGCACAAAATATTTCAAGTAAAAGAAAATGGTAAAAGAAACATTTTTAATAATTCTTTGCTAGTTGACATAGAAGTAGAGCTTCTGAAGGGACCTCAAGAGGTGAGCTATGCCAAGCCCCTGTTTCACAGCACGATGAAAGGAACCTTGTCAATCCCGAGCAATGCTCAGGTAACCAGTTCTTAAAGGCCTTCAGGTACCTTTTTCCTAGCTTTACCATTGGAAACTTTCCCTTTATTCCTCATCTGAATCTTTCTTGCTCAATTTTGGGCCCACTGTTTTGTGTCTCATCTATTGGAAAGAAACAAGACAGATTACTACATCAGCTTTTTACTACTTTCCTAGACAGCAGAATCATGCCTCCCTACCCTATCATTTCGCAGAAAGATTGGGCATTGTTCACAGTTTTGAGTAGTTTCTGTTTTCTGTATGTTTTCACAATCTTCTTGCCCTTCTTTCAACTGTTTCCATTTTATTCATACAACTGGGGTGCCAAAACTGGACACAGTACTGCAACTGAGTTTACAAAAAGCTTTTAGAAAAAGGGGTACTCGAGGCTGTATTTTTCATGCCTCACAACACCATGACACTTCAGTCGTTATCTTCCGATTCACTATGATTTCAGATTCTTCTCTGGGAAAAGTACTGCTTTATAATAACTTTTCCTCCTTTATTTGCACAGTTGATACACCTACTTTAACAATGGCATTTATGTCCTTTGTATTTCATCCTATATGTAGGTCATTTCTCCAATTCTGCAAAGTTATTTTAATTGACCTTCCTGCTTTTCTGCATTCCATTCCTACCAGCTCCACAGCATATTCAATTTTAACAGCACACAGTTAATAAGTGTGGAGTCTTCATTCATCATTAGAGTAGTATAATAAACATTGAGTAGGACAGAATCCTCACTCACTAGATGTTCACTCACTACTTCTTATAATTTTGACAAAATCTTTAGTATTTTCTGAGTATAGTTATCTAATTAGCTCTGCAAGTCTCTTACATTAATTTAATTCAGAGAATTTTCCTCTAGTTTACTTACAGAACTGTCACACAGGAATATCTAAAGTAGTACAATATAGTACCAGCAATATCTACCAACTGCTTTTCCCATGTCCACAGGGACTTTATAGAAACAAACTGGGACCTGACATACCTTTTTCTTAACAAATCCATACTTACTACTACTTATCTCTGTTACTTTTCAAATAGTTAAAATAGATTACTTTATTCATTCCAAAACAGACTCTCAAGATTAAAGCTGTATACCAGTTTTTTCAATTCCACTTTTAAGAGACACTTGCCCTTTCCCTATATTAGTAGCTCACTTCCCCTGAGTAAGTTCTCAAGTATGATTGTCAGTGGTTCCAAAAATGTATTTCAGTGAGTTCCTGAAGTTTCACAGAAAAAAGTTCATTAGATCCAGTAAATTTGACAATAAACTTGTGAAAGCATTCTGATTTTGCTCTCTCCTCATACAAAGTTGAACTGTGTGCAGTTTACTTCTAACAATGAGACACTGGGCACCTGCTCACAGTTTATCTTTTTAGTGACAGTTAATATCAAAAGAAAGGACATTTAATTCCTGGACTTCCCGGTATCAACCAGCATAGCTTTTCCTCTGAGCAGGGGGGTCAGATCAGTGCTGTCTTTGGCTCCAAGTCTTAACTAAAACAATACAGATTTCTTGTCAATAGGTGTTCTATGTTAGTAGCACCTCATCTGTGCCTTAGTCTTTCTTATTTTATCTAATCTTAGCCTCTTCTTTAGAGCTTCCTCTTTCTGCTTTACTTGCATTCAATGAAGATATTAGAGTACTGATCACTTTGTACTCCCTCAGCCTGTCCTTCCTTGCATTTCAATGCTTTGGGCTTGTACTCTCATTATTAGTACCAACTGTGCACAGGAAAGTTCAATATGTATGGAGAATTAGATTTGTGTTATTGCTGTATTAAGTCCTCACAATACTAACAAGGCATTGTTCTCAATCTTAATTAAGACACACTGTTACAGACCTCATAAGCAGCTCCAAAATCTGTATCGACTGTATCGACTTAATTGGAACATCTCTTACCAGCCCTGACGACTCAATTAAATTGTACAGGGAAAACTGCAAACAGGAACACCACAGATGCTGCAACCTACTCACTCCTACCACTTACAAACCAGTTTACGAGGACAACACAATTTATAAAACAAGTTCTGTACCATCTGCTGTAACAATTTGTTTAAAATGCTGCAGTACAGTGCGGTCAATAGTTTGCAATATATGACAAAACAATTTTTTGCTTTAACAGTGAATTCTTGAAATTTTACTTTCCAGTAACACATATAGGAAGCTACTTCACTGGATAGCTATGTAAAAACAAACAAACATATTGATTACCAGAAGTTCCTTTCTGCACATCTGGCACATCTTCGCTCATTAAGTCTTCCTGAAGTTGTGGTCTTACATTTCTTTTTCCGGTACCTTCCACCTCATGAAGAGAGCCCTTTCTTGTCCTGCCATGCACAGGAACCCAGGAAACAGATCGGTACTCTCTCCGGGTGTCAAAAGCACAATGGTGGTCATCAGATATCCACTTCTTCATTTGGTCTCTTTGGGTGTCATTTAACTTTGACCCTTGACTGGAAGTTGTGTTTTTAAGTGAGTTTGGGCTACTCAAAACACTATGTGGCCCTCGCCTCAGACTGCTTCCATAATGACCTGGTGTTCCCTTTCTCTTTTGAAGGTTGGTATCTATTTTATTGCTATGGCCATTTCCATATTCATCCATGGCTCGGTAGTCTTTCTGTAAGGGACTTCCTTTTAATTCTTCTTGATGCAAAATGTCCTGTTCCTTATTTTGTTTGGCAAGGCAAGGTTTTGCAGCATCTCCCATGGTTATTGCTGTTCAATTTAGTGATTCTCACCTAGAAATAAAAAAGTTAAAAGCTGCATTTTAAAAAAATCAAGAAATAAGCACTGGCTCTTATTTGTTACAGAAATCTCAACAGTCAAAGCCCTGGCTCTGAAATAAGGCAAGCAAGTCTTGGCAGAAACAAACAAAAGGCAGTACAAAACTCAGCTAGGTTTCTTCTCTTAAAATGTCTAAGACCTATAGGTTGTTCATAAAATGCAGAGGCAGCCTATGGCTTTTCCGGCATTAAGGTCTAGATGCCTTTAAAAGACATAGTTAATTTTACGAGTGTACATCAGAGTTTCAGCTCAGTACAGGAAAGTTTTGAAAGAATGACTGAAGGAATTTTGTGGCATGTTGATAATGTAGGAGATGACAACAAGGATGGCCCCAAAGCCATTCTACATAACTGTTCACCTTGAAACCGTTCACCCTGTTAAGAATGAAAATTGTGATGATCAGAGGAGACAGAGATGAAGAAGTTGAGCTGCAACCGGCAAATATGATACAATTATTTAGAAACAATGCACTCCCTGTGGACTCTGCACATTTTACCCAGACCATCAATGTGAGTCTCACAGCAGTCAGTATTAAGTACTCATGTTCATATTATTTTAGCATTGCCTAAAACATCTGGGCTACTGAATAGCTTGTGTACCTCCACCCCCTTCCCCAGCCACATTCCTGTTCTTACTGTGAAACATTTCCAGGGAGCTGTAACTCCCATGTTGGCATAAACCCATGTGGACTGTGAAAGGGGGAACTACTGAAAGAGACTGCATAAACCACATGAGCAGCAGTGGTCTCATCAACACCGAATATTGTATGATTTACAACTAAATAAAAAAGGTTTTCTCTCTCAAAATATGTGCAGGTGCTTAAGCATGCAGATAAAGCTGTAGAGCATTTTTAAGAAGCACTTAAGCAGCAGGAGATGCCCTTCTGTTGCCTTTAATATTGAAGTAGGGTACCTGATTTTCTTACTTTTTTTTTTAAGTTCTGCAGGCCACAAAGGAACTCTCAGGCATCTCAGTGTCTGCTTTCTGTAGGCCTAAGGCTTTCAGTTCTATCGCCCTCTTAAGCAGTTTTTTTGCTCCTGCACAAGCAACAAACCAAGTAGGATTCCTGTCCTAAAGATCACAATTCTTAGGCAGTTATGTACAACTATGAAAATGAAGCTACTACGGCTAAGTGCTGAAAGAAAAGTTTCAAACGCACAAAGTGTACTTGCTTCCTATTTTAGGAAAGAAACCACTGTCAAATCCGAATTTCAGAGCAACCTAAAACCAGCTTGTTTTAGTCATCCCCAGAACCAACGCGCATACTCTGCCGCCAGGATGGATGACGACACTTCCCTGTACTGGAACGAAGCAAAAAGTCAGTTTGCGCTCGCCTCCGGCTCCCAACCACGACTGAAGGTGCGAGCCTGGCGCGGGCAGGGGGAAGGGGAGGCTGCCCTAGAGGGTCAGCGGCATCACAGATGGGCCCGACAAGGCTCCTGCGGGGCCAGAAGCACCAGGCAGCGCCGGTCAAGCTGCCAGCGGGACGCAGGCGGAGGCGTTACGATACTGGCGCACGAAACACGCTACGTGGGCCAGGGCTCCCTTGCTCCCACGCCGCAGCTCCCGACTCCCTTCTCCCCGTCTTCACATCGGCTGACGAAGGCCCCCAGCCCCCTCCTGCCCGCCCTGACCCCGGTGCAGGGGCTGTGGCGACACACAACCCGGCCCCGCCACCTCAGCCGGACAGAGCTCGCGGGCGGAGGGGCCGCGGCAGAGACGGGCCGGCCAGGGAGGGAGGGAGAGAGGCGCACGGGCGGGCAAGGAGGACAGAACGCTGGGGGACACCGCCCGCCGTCAGGAAAGGCCTCGCCCAGCTGCCGACCGCTGAGAGAAGGGCACTCACCGCCCGCTACCGCTGGCCCGGCCGCCACCCGGCGCCCGCCATTGTGCCGAGGCGGAAGCAGCGCTGGGCCCTCGGCGCGCCCGATCTGCGCGAGTCTTCCGGCTGCGCGAGCCCGCCCTCCGGCCCAGCGGGGCGGGACAGGGACGGGGAGGGGAGGGAAGAGGAGGAGAGAGGGAGAGGGAGGAGGCGGGAAGCACTTATGAAGAGGGAGGGTTCCAGAGTTCCCCTGGGACTGGGTCCGGGAAACTCTTACCAACAGCCGGGTGAACGCGCCACTTCGTTTTCTGCGGGACCCAACTCAAGAACTGCCTAATAGTTTCTGAATGTGATGTTGTTGTCTCTTTCATGGGAGAACTGAAAACATTGCTGCATCACCAGGTACTGAAACCAACCGAATCATACAGCATGTGTGTCTCATCAAACAAGACCCCTAGTTGCAGCAGCTAATGTTCAGAGCAAACTACCCATGAGAAACATAAATACAAATTACAGGAACTGGGAAAACCTGGGGCAGGTGCGGAAATGGACACATGCCTGGTTTCTTGTAGGAAAAAAAATTCTACTGCCTGTCGCACTAAGTTACCCTTCTCACTGGATTAAGTGACCTGTGCATTTTGTGAATATCGCTTGCATTTGCTCAGCCTCTTCCTCCTACAATTTCGTCCTGTTTCTGCATGCCCTCTTCATTACCTAATTACTGCCTGGTTTAGGAAAGTCTCTTCCTGCTGCTCTTTTGTATTCATCTTTATGGAAAAGAGGTGCTCTTAGCAAACCTCATGAGAATTCACCTTCCCATTCCAATTCAGACTTCACTAGCAAAATGTGCATATATACTGACTTGCGGGAAACAAACCTCAAAACTCACAAAGGGTATTGAAGCAGGTATATTTATTGCAGCGGCTGGATGCATGGGGAGTAATCTCGCCAAACATGCAGCCCCTTTTAAGAGATACAATGTTACATATGCATTGTTGTGTTACATATACATTAGCTTGTTTCATACGCATTAACTGTGTCAGCAAATTCCTGAAAACTGGGAGGGAAAATCATTAACATATACCACACCTCCAACTCCACCTCAGAACACCCCTTGGGGATCTTCATTTGGGGATCTTTTGGATGAAGTAAGCAGTCTTCCTCTGCCCTAAACTTTTCACCTTTGCTAAGAACTGCTGAGCTGGCATTGTCCAATTACCTCAAACCCAGTATCATCTCTAGGAACCTCTCTTTATCAGTCTTCAAGGTCCCTCTTCTTAAGCCTCAAAGCTCCTTATTGAAACTCCAAGGTTTTCTGCTCCTGCTAGAGTTCTCATTATAAAGTTAACTATATCCTGTCTGTGAGTTAACACAAGCAAGCAAGGCAATTTGACAGTATTATATCTAAAATTAACTCTAGTAAGTATCTAAGGCTACAATCTTTTATCACCATTCTATATTTTGATCATCCCTTATCAGTATACAGGTTTTGAAGGGAGGTAAATAGCAGAGATTTCCAAAAATCATTTATGGCACCTTTCCATACAAGAGTTTATAGCCTGGTGGTTTGTATTAACACTTGCAAGATACTTTCGCCTTCCCCTCCGTTACCCTTTCCTGGTAAGACAATTTCTGGAGAGGGCCTGGCATGGAAGAATACCTTAACTTACCAAAACAATTACTGTGAGCAGATGTGGCTGGGGGACTGGCATGATTTAACCTCAGCCAGCAACCAAGCCCCATGCAGCCGCTTGCTCGCTGCTTCACCAGCAGGATCAGGGGAAGAATCGTAAGGGTACAAGCCAGAGAACTCGTGGGTTGAGATAAAGACAGTTTAATAGGGAAAGCAAATGCCACACACACAAGCAAAGAAAAACAAAGAATTAATTCACTGCTTCTCATAGGCGGATTCAGCCATCACCAGGAGAGCAGGGTCCTATCATGAGTAACAGTTACTTGGAAAGACAAACACCATCAGTCCAAATGTCCCCTTCTTCCTCCTTTCTCCCAGCTTTATATACTGAGCAAGATTTCATAAGGTCTAGAATATCCTTTGGTCGACTGCGTTTACCTGTTCTGGCTGTCTTCTCTCAATCTCCCATGTACCCGCAGCCCCCTCGCCAGTGAGGCAGTAAGAAACACAGTAAAGGCCTTGGCTCTGTGTAAGCCCTGCTCAGCAATAACAAAAATATTTCTATGCTATCAACTCTGTGTTCAGCACAAATCCAAAACACAGCCCCATACTAGTCACTGTGAAGAAAGTTAACTCTACCCCAGCCAAAACCAGCACAGGTACCAAACACAAAAACGTTTCTGAGCCCTGTCTTGCCTCTTTTCTCCATAACATTGTTGAGTGGTTGGAGGCTGAGCATGTTTCATGTCATATTAACTGTGGTGAGTGAAACAGTTTTTGGTTTTATGGAAGGTCCTCACTAGTGCACATATAGAAGACTGTCTAAAGCTCCTGCAATTTTTATTAAACTAAAATTCCTGTAGTTTTTATAAAACTCACAGATTCTTGTTTAGATTTCCATTAGATGGATTATTATATACTCAAATATTATCATTTTCTATGATCAGACAAAAGAAGAGGAAGTGAGCTAAGAGTGTCATATGTCCTAAACACACTTGGTACTTAGAAAATCCAGATTTTGATCAGCTGAGATTTTTTTCTAAATAGGTAGCATGAAGATGCAATTAGTCAGTTTTTATGAGAAAAAGTAAACTTAATATACTGATTACAAATATACTGAAATGGGAAAGGTAGCTAGCAAATCTTCCTAAATTTGTCTGTATAAAAGAAAACAAGAGAGAGAAATTGAAAAATAGTAAAAGACTACAACTCACTAAGTCAAGTAAGATCAGGCAGATGCATATAAATTATAAGACTGAGCTTAAAGAACAAATCACGGTATTGGGCATCACAGAATCATATTTTATTTTTTAAGAGATGTAGTCTCTTGAATTTTTTGAGTGCTGATCTTGAATCTGCTTCAGACTTTTTGGTCCAGCTTAGAGCAAGCCACTACATTCCCAATTTCTCCAGTATTTCTCCAAATACCTCAAACAAGTATTTGGTATATCTTTTAAATATCTTTTGGTGTGTTTTATTGTTGTCATACAAAAGATACTGTTTTCCTTTACAAAAGCTTGTCCACCAAGAAATAAAAGATTGCGTTTTTCTGTCATTTTGTGAGATAAACTGGGGCACTTTGGAATCCAAAACCTGCCATACTTGTGCTAATGGGGCAGGATTGCCCAGGCACAGAAATGGTAGGAAGCAGAGACAGACTGCCTGTTTTGACTATGACTCAAACATCTCTTGGAGCCCCACAGATACCTGCCGTCTTTGTGTAGTGGGAATGTTGATATTTTTTGGTCTGTGTTTGGCCCCAGCCACCTGTAGTAGTTTATATTCTCCCTGCCAAGTTCAGTGATAAAACAGTGAATTCATCCTTGGAGGGAGAACTTCTGTATAAACCATTTTAATTGGTGTTCTACTATTGGTTCATTGTCTGCCAAGGGCATTTGAAGGAGGAATCGAAGAGGAAGGGAGGAAGGCTCGACCCCCAACTCAATTAGAAAAGACCCCTAAAGCATACTGCGCGTGCGCCGGGGGATTTCCGAAGTTCTCACGCATGTGCTGAAGGGATGAACTTACATAACCAAGAGAGTGGGATTGGGAACCTCTGGCAGGGCGGTACTGGCCACACCTTCCCGGGCAGAGGTGCTCAATGGATTGCATAAAAGCAGGCAGGTTTTCCATGTGTGGTGGGCTTGCTCTACACGAAGGATCAAGTTGCCTTTAGTGAGGACGCCTGCTATCGTGGGAGCCTGCTAACCCTCCGGTAAATGCAGCTGCTGCAGAGGATTTTATAGTGTCTGGAGCGGGTAAGATCATCCCATAAATGGCACCTAAGTGAGTAGGGTGTCGTATTTCCTCTTTGGTTTTCTCTTTCTCCCAGGTGCCAGTTTATTTCAGCCACTTCTATGTAATAAATATCTGTTTTATTGAGCTTTCAACAGTATCTTGGTTTGCAAGCTTCAGTATGTTCCGAACCCTCCCTAATACACTTTGTCACCTCAGCATTTCACTGTTGTAACACTCTCCAGCTTGAAAAACTATTAGAAATACAGAAAATGTTGCTATTTGTCTTCATCAGTGAAAGATTGCATCACTTGCAGATAAATCAGAAAACTCGTCTGCCAGATATTTTACAGTGGTATTTTCTGAAGACAGTGGATCTGACCATTTATACCTGAAAATAACCTGACCCACTGTGGTGTCCTCTCCCAGCTTCTTCTGCATACCTCCAGACTACTTGCTGGTGGGCTGACGTGAGAAGCAGAAATGGCCTTGTTGCTGTGTAAGTGCTACTCAGCAGTAATTAAAACATCTCTGTATTATCAACACTGTTTTCAGCATAAATCCAAAACATCACCTCTGTAAAAGCTACCATAAGGAAATCTAACTCTATCCCAGCCCAAACCAGTACATTCCTCACCTATTATTCCATATAATTTATGTCATGTTCTGGTCACACCCTATCTCAATACATCCCATTTCCCCATAATATGTTTGTGAAATGTCCATAAATATGCAAAAAATGCTCACTTTGTTCACTTGGTCTTTGACTTTGGGCTCCATCTGTTATTGTTGTCACTCAGGATGGAAGAGATGGTGTGTTGCATAGCGTTGTTTGGCACAAAAACCAGCTCAGGTTAGGTCACTGCTGCACTTGCACCAGTGCTTCTTATGAGGGCCATCCTTCATTGGTTTAGGAAATTTCTGCTATAGGACTTTCTGTAACATCCAACTCAATGGTTTACCACAATTTAAAAGTATATCCATTACATTCTCCAGCTCTAGTCCCTTTGGACTAGGCTGTATGTTTTAACATGACAAGGAATTCCTCCTCTTCCATCTAGCTTTGCTACAAGCAAGAGGTTCCTGTTATAATACCTTCAATATATGGCAGCCACAAAACTTACTTTTCAAAGTCCAAAATAGTAATCGGGGCAGTGGCATGGGTTACAGGTTATGTTTCTAACCATCCAGTAGTCACTTCCAGCACTGTAAACACGCAGTGCTTGCTATGTCAATTTCACAGTAGTGTGATATAA